ATTTAACACATAGTTTAAAAATGCCATATCTTACAGTTTAATCATAAAAAAATGTACGATTAAAGCTAAATAGTATCCAATGTAGCAAGAGGAGACTCATCCCCGCTAGCAGCTACGTTCGCGAGCATGACGCACGAACCAGCCATCGATCGCATTTTTACGGAAGGTCATTTTCCTCGCTTAAAAGGATGATAATTATTGTGACGACGCATTTATTTGCATTTACTGAGAATTTTTTCTATAGTAATGTATATTTTTTGTATACCATCAAAGAGGTTCCAAGAAACAAAGAGCACACCAAACTTATTTTAAAATCAATTTTTTGACGGGAGATTTTTCGATTGAAAATAAAGTTACCCTTTCGATACATTATCAATTTAAGAGGAAAGCTGTTTTGGGACATACGAAGAAAAGTTTTCACCCTTCGTGAAAAACAATATTTTATTGGGAGATAATAATTAAAAACCAGAAAATCTATATTTATAACAATCAATTGCTGTTCGTCATTCTCGCTAAAACTCGAGAACGGCTGAACGGATTTATCTTATCTTGGTCTTGAAATGTTTTGAGGTCTAGGGAAGGTTTAAAAGGTGAGAAAATATGGAAAAATTGCGAGAAAGATAGTAAAAACGTCAATTTAATTTTCCCATATAAACTGTTCTATCTTCTTTCGGACTGTAACTAATAAACTTCTCGCTTTCTAAACGCGCTTTGTTCGTTATTTTGAAAATCTACTTATTAATAATTATAATTAGTAATATAAATTAATAGGAGTAAGAATTAATTAATCTTAATTAGTAATTCCAATTATAAAATAACGAACAAAAATATTTACAAAGAATAAGGAAATTTATTTAGATTTAAAGTAGGGAACCCTTTTTTAGCGATCTTCTTGTCTGTTCATTTAGGTGGTCTTTTTTACCATTTCGGTAGACACTTTTCAATTCAGCGGACTCCCGAAAACTTATCCTTAAATATTTCAGTAAGTGGTGATTGTTGAATTTGACCCGTAGGGTCGTTTTAAAATGGAAAAAAAAATCGATTAACAATATATTTTCTTTTTTTATTTTGCACCTTTAATTGCATTTTGTGCAAAAACTATGGGAGATACGCGAAAATATGTAGATACCTTTTTTGTAGGAAATTAAATTTTCTACAACTTTGTACTAAGAACTTTTTCTATTTTCCCAGCCAGTCCCGAGATATTGACGAAAAACTCGTTTTTGCACCATTTCGCATTTTTATTGCACCCTTTGCCGTCAATGCAGCACCCTGCAATTTTAGTATATTAACCTACGAACCCTTACGGAAAGTTGCAGGTGATCAACTCAGAATGGCAAAGTTAAGCTTTCATTGACTGGACTACTGTCAAACATTTGACGTTCGTCCCTTTTGGTACGGTAGACTCGGGTCCGTCATTTCTTCCAAATTATTTTAACCCGTACGAAGAACGCGGGGTCAACTAGTAGTATATAATAGTGAAAAAAAGTGTTAATACAAAAGTCGTAAATCTGCATATAACCTATAATTATGCCATTGTTTTTTTATAGAAGTTTTAGTTTTCCTGAAAATCGAGTTAACTTTCCCCCGTAAAAGGTGTTTGAGTTTATTTTGCTTTAAAATTTTGAAGTTCTATTAACAGATTCTTGTACAAATAAGTCCTGAACTTGTGGTATTATGCTTGCTTCCACATTGAATAAAATATATTTTAATTTCATTATTATATGTTCAATAGTATCGGTTCATGAAAGAGACAATAAAATGGCTCTACAATAGAATTTCGAATACCCGTTTATTAATTTCAGAATAAAGTAAATCAGTTTGATAGGAATTACTTTATTGTAATATTTTACTATTTTATAAAACTGGCCCTAACCTGTACAGTCTTTGTTGAGAAATATAGTGGTTACCTGGAAAGTTTTCCGGGAGTGTTGAAAATTGGTAATTTTATAAATTTTGAGGTGTTCTTTCCGAATTTCGACTTTGCCACCTCGTATTTTTGGCGCTAGCGCCGCCATATTGGAAAAATGGCGCCTAAAAGCAGTTTTTTGACAATATCTGCTTACCAACTGATTTTACGATAAAAACAGTTTAAACAAATGAAACTAGAGACAATTGCCTACAATTTATGTATCTACCTTTTTTTCATAAAGTCAATAGTGTTGGCGTACGAGCGCCGCAACTCCAACGCGTATTTTGGCCAAAAACTCATTTCCACACCATCTTGAGTTAGAGTAAGTGGCGCGTTTTTTTTAAATGTGGTATCTCCATTTGGCCTAATCCACATGCAATTTAATGTGATAAAATTTAGCGTATTATTCTTCGCTTTGTTGTTCTCGATGGACCAGGTGTTGCAAATTCATCGTCTGTAGTACCAATCGAAACGCCACAGACCGGTATTTCATCTACATCATGGGTCTATTATAGTAAAATATAATATCTATAGTCAGTATAGTTTAGATTTACATTAATTTTGCCACAGGTTGCATGAATAATGAGTAATGACCAAAGCGCGCGTTGGAGTACATTTTGCGGCGCTCGTACGCCGAAACTATTGACTTTATGAAAATAAGGTACAGACATAAATTGTAGGCAATTGTCTCTAGTTTCATTTTGTATTAACTGTTTTTATCGTAAAATGAGTTAGAAAGGAGATATGTTCAAAAAAATGTTTTTAGGCGAAATTTTTCCAATATGGCGGCGCGAGCGGCAAAAATACGAGGTGGCAAAGTCGAAATTCTGAAAGACCACCCAAAAATCTATAAAATTACCAATTTTCAAAACTCCCGGAAAACTTTTCAGGTAAAACTACCAAATGACTGTACTACTTAATTGGTTTTTAGTGGGTCTAATTTTGCCATGACTTAATTTAACAACTCTATAGGTGAAAAGGGGAGACTTGTCGATTTTGTTTAAAACAGAACAATCATGCCACAACTGGGCACTGTTCTAATATGATTTGTTATCAGATAGTTAGGAAGGTATACATAATTCCTACCATCTATTTTTATCTAGACTGGAGCATGGCCTTTGACACTAGACGGACTATAATTACAAATGAGAGCTACTTTTAAAATCAATTTCAGGTCTATCCATTGAGTATGCGAATTGCGATGAGACGGCGCGCACTCCGACTAAGGTCGAGAACCTCCACCACAATAGAGGCAGACAGCCGAGCCGCCCGCTCGCTGCATCGCGCCGCTCACAACACTAGCAGGCAGACAGTTTACCGCAAACAACAAACCATGCCACTAGGCTCAACGATAATGGCAAACCTACGCAAAAAGATTTTATACCGATGCCCTTGAAACTAAAAAAAAAACAAATACCAATGACCTCGACACACATGCATGAGCACGATAGAAAAGATGTCTATTTACGTATTGTAGACAGGTCAGATTAGGGCGAGCGGCGTAATAATGCATAGTTTGCGTTTTATGAATGCTTTATTAAACTAGAACTAGAATTACCGGCTAGTTTGATTTGATAAGGTGACGTCACGATCGTCTGGGCCCCAATTTGACGTCAGCTAGTACGGTGACCCACAAATCTACAGACACAATAAATTCGGCAATGTGCGGTGCGAAACGACGCGGGTCAATGAACTGTTGACGTATTTAAAATACGTACAAAGTACCTTTATCGCGCGAATGTAGTACGGAGCGAGGCGGCGAAGCGACTTGTTATGTATGTTTGCAAAATGGTTATTTATAGACTTGTGTGTCCGTGACGGATGATTCGTGCCATTTCCTAAGGTCTCGAGGATTGGTGAGTTTTAATGAATACTTACCTACGTTAAACTAAAGTTAAACAAAATTTTTACAAAGGAGTGATTTAGAACTGCTTTTATTTCTCGTTTTTTTGCTATTGTTTCGGTTAACACTTTTTACTTGCTAATTGCAATTGATTCCAGCTCAATTTTTTTTTATCCACTAAACTTTAATTTTTCAATCACAGACACGTTATTACACCTTCTTACTACAAACAACTAATAAAACTGGCCAATGAAAAGTGGGAAAAAATCCCAAAATTATTATTCCAAAATTTAAACTAGCTCAGCTGTCAAAAATTACAAAAATAGTGATGTTCGATTATAACCGATTTTTGGTTAAAAATATAACACCATACCGATTTACCCGAGGAAAGGAAGAATATTAATATGTGTAATTCTTAAATTAAACAGATAATAAGATTTTATTACTCTATGAAATTTCCCAAGACTAAATATCACCGGAAATCTCCGCGAGAGAGTTCGTTTTACTGCTTTGCATTAATTCTTTTGAATAAAGAAAATGTGAGAAAGGAAGTGTGTCTGTCATGCATGCCGCTACAAAACACACTACTGCAGAGCCCTTTTGTAAGGAATGGAAGAGTCTGAATGGTGGGTTAAGCGATTTTAGACGTGACACTAGCTTCGTGTAAGACTCATATTAGCGGTGAAAGGGCTGTTGTGGAACCTTGTCTGCACAAAACGAGACACCCGCAGTAGCCGCCCTACCTACCCACATAATGCGGCGGATACAGATCCGAGTTTCTTCTTACACACACGTGAACTAAGTACGAAGGCCAGCTTTAAATGTGTATGTGTCGCGAATATGTACGGCTTCAATGATCAGCAGGTGTAAGCGAACTTTAAAGCAAGGGGTTACTGCGATTAACTCCTTTATCCCTTCGTTTCCATATCAAAGAGTAATGAACCTTGTTCTACTATTAGACGTTGTCAATTTGTAACCGTGTGATTCTTTCAGTTATTCATTATAATAACTTACTAACAGTTGTTAGATATTTAGTCAATTTCATGTGACTGATTTTGCATTAATAGTATAATTGTTAGTGTTACTTAGGTTGTCTTATTGGATTACATAAAGTGCTTATAGGTACATATACATTTAAAAGTGTTTTAGTTAGCATTAGGTGTCTTACAAGACCTAACAAAATAGTTTTTTTTGTGTATAAGTCATAATATGTCATACATTAATACCAGTGTTAAAGTAAAGGAGGGTTAAGATATTAATTGTCCTAATAAAGGCGAAAGACTAACACTAAATCGATTGCGTATGAATATCGAAGGTCATAGGGTTTGCGAGTGTGCGTGTGTATGCAAGTATGCAGCGAGCTCGGTGCGGCGTCGTCGCTGCTGCACGCCTGCACCGCCAGTTGCAACACCCTCCCCCCTTCGCTCTCGGCTTCTCGCTCGCCGCCGTCTTGCCGCTTGCCTGTCTCACCTCGCGGCCGGCAGCCTTGCGCGACGCGCCGCGCTCTTTCACATTCAAAATTATTCGCAACTATTGTAAAAACACTCTGTGCAATAAAATTATTATATTGGCTTTCGATGCGGTCACAATTGGTTTTTGCAACAGAGACATTGCTAAAACTTTGCAAACTGTTTAAGTGCCTTTTAAAACTTTGAATGCACTCCTCGTTGCATGTCCCGCGCGCGTCGTTATGAGAACCCCGTACTGGCGGTCACGTTGACGTCGCGCGGTGCCGCCATATCTGTCTCGGCCACCAACTAGCAAAATTAATAGGTAATTATTTTAGTGTACAGTGTTTTTATTCGAAAATTTTGTACAGTGATCAAGTGTTACAGTGTTTTTTACCTTCTCAAATCCTCTGTGGTGATTCTAATTGGATTCTTTTTGGAAATACAGTCCTCGCGCCGGCCGGTTCTTATCGGGTGCAATGCAGTTGCACTCTCAACTTATTGCAGTTTTGCATTTACTAAAGTTTCATGCGCGGAAAGTTTTAGTGTTTCATTTATGTCATAAAAGGATTGTTAAAGTGATTTAAAGTGGTTATTAGTAAAAAGTGATAAGTGTAATAGCTTTTAAAGAGCTGTCACAGTTAACTCTGCTGTGTTATTTCGGTCATTGACCGCAGGGATTCGCATCTCTTTTATGTTAGTGTCGTGTTAAGTTTTTGACATAATTCCGATTTTCGATTTTAAGATTAAAGTAAAGTGGCACCTCACTAAAATAATGCAATGACCCGCTAATTCGCTTTTTGAAAATTTGCCTTCACCCGGATGGAATGAGGAGTGCACTTTCCCATTGTTTTACAGTTTCTTATGTTTGAACATCATTTGTTTTTTTGTTTTTCGGACGATTACAGAGTTGTCATTTTCTTCCAAAATTGCAAAAATTACAAATTAAAGGTAATTATATATTAAATCCATAATTTGTGAATAATTTCATTGTTGATGTTCTGATAAGTATTGGTAGGCACTTGGATTATATAAAGCGTGACTGTCTTGAAATTTTGTAGTATGACATCAGCTTTAGACCAACCTTATGTCTTGACCAGTTTGTCATAGTCAATTGCAAGTTGTAGTGGCTCATGTTTAGGTTGCAGTTTAACAGTGCAGTGAGTGTAAATACATGAAAATCTGTGCAGAATGGCGGAGGGCAATGGAGAAATTTCCATTGAAGAGGTACCTGGGAAGGACTCCGATGTAGGCCGCACACCGGATTACCGCAAACTAATTGAATATGGCTTGGATCCTAAGGTGAGCTTCAAATCTTATTATCACAATATTCTAATATTATATTATACTGAAAGATTGGTTATGGGTTATGTAGTGCCTATAAGAAATCCCTTTCAACATATTTTAGTTTTACACGGAGGTCACTGATTTTGACGCTTGAGATAATTTTTTTCTGTGTTATACTTTAACTAATTATGTTTTTCTTTATTGTATAAATTATATATTTTTATTACCATCTCTATTTAAAAGCAAAAAAATTAGTTTTTAAAAACTTTTTTTTTCTTAGTTGGTATCAGTCGCTGGTAAAAACTTAATTTTTCTCCAAGTTCTGCCTATAGAATCTGTATTCTAATATTTAAAAAGTGTTAAAATTATCTTTATCTCTGAGATATATCTTGTAAATAAACCTTTGAATGATTTACAAGCCAAATTAATTTATAATGTTTTCTAATAAGAGTCTTATTAGAATTAAATAATACCCAGCATATTGTAATTGGTTCACTGGTCAAAATTTGTGCAACCTAATAAGAGGCTTGTTAGAATTATTAACTGATTTAATTTATGACTTATTGGATATTCTTATTCCCTATCCAAATTGCAACCTTAATGCTGTAGCAATAGGGTGCACCTTAAATTATAAAGTTTCAATTATAATTGCTTATACATTAATGAATCATCATGAAATATTGAACAGTGTGTCAGTGGTGTGCATGTATCCACTGTGCCACACCTGAAAATTTCTAGACAATTTCTGATATCTGACAACATGGGTAATGGACAATTGGATGGACAATTACAAATGCATACTTGCACTGCACTTTCTCTCTGCTATCAATTATTATTGTGACCTCTCTGCCAGTGTTATCTCTGTACCTGAATGTTTGAAAATATCTGTTGCTATGATGTTCTGTTTATGTTTTGCTTTGTATGACCTTGTTGTTGAGTGAGGAGACTTTAAATTTTAGTGTTGGGATTCTCTTGCCCCATAAGTGTATGAAAGGCTGTAAGATAATTTACACTGAAAAGGTTTAATGCCAGTGCAATGAGTCAAGTATATGGGGGGGAGGGGGGAAGGCCAGGTCTCCATAGGCCATTTGCCTTGAAGCTGACCTTACAGTCTGAGTGGGTGTCTTTAAATACCTGTTTTGAGGTAGCAACAGAACTATCCACAGTTTGAGATAAATTGTGCCAATTTATTGAATGTTGTCAGATAATGGGGGCCTTATTTTAATTTCTGTATCAATATTGTTCTTTGTTGTGGTAATCGTTTTGATAAGATGACATTGTGATTGCGTCAGTTTTATATTGCCTGTGTAGTATCCTTGTGGAGGTGCTTCTAACAAAGTATTTGGTGCATGAAATTAATCTAACATGTTATACTTCATAAATGCCAAAACTGCCCCCTTAGCATGAGTACCGCGATATGATATTTATATCGCGATTTTATCACGGTTAATTGTCAAATTACTATGGAGTTTGACAGTATGACGCGATAAAAACGTGATATAACGTAAATTATGGTGTTCATGCTTCACAGGGACTGGTGTCATTGGGGTATGACTGTGGGTTATTTATAGATGTTTTTCACTCATACTTGCTACGCCTTTGATGCTCTGCCAATCCCGCAAAAGACCCCCCTCTTTTGCGGGAAAGAAAGAGAGAGCGAGAACCATTTTACGCAAAAGATATTGGGGTAATAGAAAACATTGACTTTGGTGAAACTTTACTTAAAAATGATACTGTCACCTTTATTTGCTTAAAAAACCGAGACATCATATTAAGAGGTTTAAACCAGGTTTAACTTTAGTCCACGTTTTGTCACAAGGCTCTTATGATCTAAGGCTACATGACCATTAGAGCAGATTCCCGTGACCTGCAATAAGTTTTGCAACCGAAACTGAACAGGCCTTGTTTGGTATTGCTTTTCAAAGACTACTTCCCATGTCTTATTCTACCTCTAAGGCGCGGGACAGACAAAAAAGACGTGACGCAGACGAGGCGCGGACATGACTCTTCCACGTCCTTTCATTCAAAACCTAAAGAATCTTCGTGTCGCAAAACAGAAAAGACATGAACCCGACGGTTCTTCATATCGCGGACCCGACGCTTCTTCATTTCTCATGAAACTGACAATGGTGTCGATTCTGGCAGGATTCTCTAAACTTAAAACTAAATTTAAGATCAGCCTGTCCTTTTCATTCTGTATAGCGAATGACAGGGATACACTGTTGTCCAATTTTAAGTTTGCCAAATCATGCCAGAATCGAAATCAACGTGTATCCCGCGTCTAAGGTCAACTCAGAAGGCGGACATTTAGCGCGAATCACTCCCGCAATGAGCTTTAAAATACGCGTAAGTCAACGGACAAAATCATTTTGTAGGCTTATAAAAATTACTTAACAGCCTTACTCTTTTGAAAATAAAGGTCATTTCGTGGACAGATAGGGCTGGTTTTTCGTTTATGGGCTGGCCCTTATTCCGTGTAAGGCTTCATTGCATTGGACGACCTCCGTGGCCGAGTGGTTTGTACGCCGGGTTTCATGGCTGTCGCCGACTCGAGAGGTCCCGGGTTCGAATCCCGGTGGGGGCAGATGTTTGTGTGATGAATACGAGCATTTGTACTCCAGTCATGGATGTTTAATATGTATTTATATAAATATACTTATATATGTACAGTATATGTATTCTATCCGTTACCTTAGTATCCCATAACACAAGCCTCATAGTGCTTACTTTGGGGATAGGCTAATTGGTGTGAGTGTCGGAAATATAAAAAATATATAATATATAAATATTGCATCTTTTTTAACATTCTTAGTTTTTAGTCGGGGATATATATATATAAGTTGTCTCTTGTGTGCTCTGTGCTCAAGTGGCAAATCTCACGTTTGCACAATATGACTTGCAGGTGTTATGCGGGAGCCTATGCACACCATAGTTTTTTAAACGCGTCGTTAACGCGCGTTTGTGGCGATAAAGACGCGATACGCACGCGAGTCAAACGCAGCCTGTAGACCTCTGCACACCTGTATAAATTCAAACACGCGTTTGAATCGATACAGACGCGCGTGTGTGGCGATACAGGCGTCAACAAACTGTTCCGTGATAAAAGCGCCGTCGACGCACGTTTTCAAAACGCGCGTCGACAGCGCGTTTAAGAAACGTGATGGTCATAGGCATTTGATCGAGTGATATTTCCGCAGTTTTTTCAATTGAGGCAGCAGATGTACGTCGATACAGAAGCTGGATTAAATTTAGAAGCCAGTTTTGGGTGCCTAGCAACGGCATTAGTTGCTAGATTTTTGCGGCTAGAGTGACATGACATGGCATTTCACATGGCTATTCGTATTTGCGACTGTCAAATTTTATTTACAAATGACAAATAAATACGAATAACCATTAGCCATGTTAAATGCCAGCATTCAGTGATTCCAATAACATTGTGTTAGCGTTGGCATGTCAGCGAGATTGGCGTACCAATGTGAATCTGCCATTATTTCCCATTCATTGCACGAAAACCTCTTTTTTTAAAGCAAAACTGTTTTCCACAAACAGACATACATTTTCTATTGCTGTAAGAATCGTATTAGAAAAAGAGATTCGCCAAAATCTCCGCGAACCAGTTACGGCGCAACAAAAATGTAACTCGGATTTTAGAGTTAAAATATTAAAAATGTCCAATAGTATTGCTTTTGCTAAATGCGGATTCTAATGCAGTTTTTTTGCCCGAAGAAGTTATTTATAGGCGTAGTTTTTAATATTTTTATACTAAAATATCAGGTACATTTCGTTTGCTCCGGAGGTAGGGCAATTTTGTATGGGATTTGTGGGATCTCCTTTCTGCATTGTTTTGCAAGGTATTGCAAGGAAACATGAGCGTGAACAGTCATCTTAAACGTGTTTAGCTATCATACACTTACAAAACATTTACATGCTGATCTTACTAATAAAGTAACAAGGGATTGTTAATGCCGCCCAACAGAATAACAACTTGTTTGACAATTAAACTACTATAAAATTTATTATAACTATACATATAATGAGGAGGAGCTCGATGGCGCAGGTGGTTGAAGTTAAGCAACTTTCGCAGTGGTCGGTCATTGGATGGGTGATCAAAAACATCTATCTCGGGTTCCTCCGTGCTTCGGAAGGCACGTTAAGCCGTTGGTCCCATCTGCACCTGCAGTAGTTAGCACCCGCTAATCCGCACTGGGCCCGCGTGGTGGGTCATGGCCCAATCTCCCTATTCCATCCATAGGGAAGGCCTGTGCGCCAGCAGTGGGAACATTAAGAGGCTGATGATGATGATGATACATATAATTATTCAATTAAATTTCAATTTAACGGGGCACACAAAGGCGTAGATTAATTTGTTATGAGGTTAAGAGTTGCCTTAAATCCTCTATGCACTCTCTATCTTGCTGGATCCAGCATGCAGGACAGCGCTATACCCGTAAAAGAGATAGAGATACATCTCTCACGTCACTCTCCCCTTTATTAATAAACGAAGAATAGGTTTGGAGCAGTTACTCCATGTTTCTCTGTCATTGAATAATAAATGGCATTTGAGTGATATTAACAAAACAGGGTGTAAGTGGTCTAAGCTTCCTTAAGCTCTTCGTTTATTAATGACCCCTCATTAGCCCCTAGCCCCCGCTAGAGCGTAGAGGACTTTATTCTGTTCTCAGGCCCAAGCACGAATTTTGACAGCTCCTTAATCGTATCTATATTTAAAAAACTCAAAGGTGACTGAATGACATAGTGATCTATCAACGCACAGCCCAAACCACTGGACGGATCGGGCTGAAATTTGGCATGCAGGTAGATGTTATGACGTAGGCATCCGCTAAGAAAGGATTTTGATCAATTCTACCCCGAAGCAAAGCGAGGTCGTCATATAAAATGTTGTATGAAAAGTGTCAGCTTGTTCTCACGCCCGGTAGGGGTGTTGCTTAGTATTCATAGAAACTTTGACGATGCGATACGATTACGGAGCTGTTAAAAACCGGGCTTGGGCCTCTGATCGCGAAGAAAGTAACGTCACTCCTTTTAATCTAACTTTAAACTTTGGAGTGCACCACAACTTAAGAGTTTTCGATATCGCGCGAAACTGCAATCTCATATTTCAGTATCGTTTTATGTCATTACCAAATAATCCTACTCTTACCTTCCTATAACCTGGGGTCCTTTAAGAGAGGCGTGAAGAAGTATTTTTGCAGGCCGGCAAGGTGAGGATGATTGGTGTAGCAGTTTATAACCGCTGTACCAGCTATCTTCGCGTTTGGACTTTATTACCACTTAACATCAGGTGGGGTAGAGTCATTTGCCTACCTTAATATAAAAAAAAAATCTAACACCCATTACGTTACGCTGAGGCAGGATCCTGGTTGACCACAAATGGTACCATCATTAATGTACCTATTTTTTTTCTTTACTCCGTTATGCATATTTTCATATTTTTTTTGTATGTTGTTTTGTAAATTTATTAATGTGGTCAATAAAAATGATTCTCTCTCCCTCTCTCTCTCTCCATTCTTAATCGGACTACCTAAGATATATTTATTTAAACTTTCCAAAAGCTGATTACCTACTCAAAACAAGCTTTTGATCAATACTTTCTGATATTTAACTATCTCTCTAGGTACCACCTACGTGGTGTTAAACATGCATTTGACTCTAGCAGTTGCTTCAATGTAGTTTACTAGCATGTCTTGGTTGTCTGGGGATGGATGGTACTTTCAATGTTGCATGCTAGTTCTTTAATTTGAACAACATATTTTAACATAGTAATCATATTATTATTTTATGTTTATACAATGCAAAGTTTGAAAAAAAAGCCAAACTGAATTTGTAAAATTTTAAAAGCCGACCAGAAAAATAAGGAACCTCGACATATTTCGGCATATTTAATGGAAATTGAAATCATAATGTGAAGCACTAAAGAGCGAATGGGGCGCCCCCAGCCCCAAGGTTTTTTTCTCTGGCCTGACTATAATAACACGGAACAGCAGTTTTAATTAGAGCTACATAAGTCCTCTTCCTGTATACTGTAAGCCTTTTTGTCTGCCCACGGTTTCAATGACTCTGATATTTCCCAAATGGCGCACGCACATCTGCCAAAGACAATATCCTATAACTTTGCATATGGGCATCGAGTTACTGTGAACGGGCGTAAGAACCCGTTCAATCGGAGCGTAGATGTAATCTGGTCATGTAATTACAAGAAGCATTCTCTGGTTTCCAGGTAGCCGCCAAGCTGGACGACATTTATAAGACTGGAAAGCTAGCGCATGCAGAATTGGATGAGCGTGCGTTAGATGCCTTAAAAGAATTTCCATCCGACGGTGCTTTAAATGTTCTTGGACAATTTTTAGATTCAAATCTCGAGCATGTATCTAATAAAAGTGCTTATTTATGTGGAGTCATGAAGACCTATAGGTGAGTACCGCAAGTCTTTTTTTCTTGTATCCCAATCAAAATATTGGATGATTGCCAAACGGCCGGGCCTCGATCTGGGTCACTATCTCGAAAAATTGATTTGACACATTATCGGGCGCTCAGCAACGGCTGTTGAATTTAAAATTTGCGCTGCTGCTATGCACCGGGCGCGGCGACGGACGCCGCTCGCACTCTTTGTTGGAACTTTTTATAAATTACATCGTGTCTGAACACAAAGGACGCTGATCCAGTCGTGACTGCCGCGCGACGCGTTTAAAACAAAAGCAAATTTAACCAACTGCAATTATTGTACGCTGCAATATCCGCGAGCGTGCACATGGCGACGGAGCCGCCATCTGTTTTCGCCTCGATGTTAAAAAAGGCTAAATTTCACCGACGACGGGAAGGCTGAATTGTAATTTCTCAACGCTAAGTGTGAGAATATTGTAATGGCTCTTCGGATCGATCTCTAAGTGCAGCTGCTAGACAATTGGGTTTTATTGTCACGCGCGGCGTGTAGATGGGTAGTTTCTCAGGCACATTGGCAATGCCCTGTGCGGGTTGTGCAGTGTTTCTATTGATACGAGGCTGGAGGCATGCGAGTGACGTCCGCGTGTTGGTGTCGTCGCCACGAGATTAGATTACGAATGGTCATTAGCCTCGGCGGACTCATGACTTGATGCAGAACCTGTTTGCATGATTTATAAGATGCAAATGTGCGTTTACATGAATCCGCAGACCTTGTACGAGGCTGCTGCACAGAATGACATTACCTTATGTCCCTTCTCTGAGAAATACGCATTCTGAATGTCTCAATACGCGCTTTAGGGAAAAAAATTCAATCATCGAAGTAAAGTTTTTAGTCTGATATCGTATTAACAGATACATTGGAAGGGTTTTGTAATTTTATAGTTTTTTTTGGTATTGCTCATTTAAGTCCGCTGGCAGTAATTTCTCGAAATCTCCAGTTAACCAAAACCAGATTTAGGCCATACAAGAATGTCTAGACATTTTTATATGAGCTAAATCCAGTTCTTGTTAAATCGAGATTTAGCAAACTTGCTGCGAGTGTGCCTTAGACAGTTTAGTTTGCCTGACGTTAGAAATTCAAAAATGAAACCTTTAATGAAGTACCAGACGAAAAATAATTAAAGGCTATCATCCAGTATTTTTATAAAGATTAATTGATGTTTAATTTATCACCGAAACTATTAATTACGCTCTGCAACTAATGAAACAGTAAACTTATATAAGACTGCTCTTTGGAGACAGACTATAAAAAAACTATTGATTTTCAATTTTCTTTGTCTTCATCTGCAATTGCAAATAGCATTTCTTCTTTACATGACACCAACCTGTTTACAAGTAAATAAGTCAGAAATGCAAAAACTTACTGCTGCCACATACTTAGTATTCATTAACATCATTATTACCAAAATATCAAAATTAAAAGTTTCTGCCCTAGCACAAGTTCGATAATTGGATATTAACTTCAAAATTAGCACAGCGAGTGTTTGTCGTTGGTGGCATCTCGCTTTTTTAGGTTAAAAAAGAAAGATACATTTTCCGCCTCCTCGACGCTCACTCCCCACTCGCCAACTCGTTTTTAGCTTACGAGAGTGCAAGTCCGTTTAAGTATCAAATCTATTTTTATACCTTAAAACGAGTAAATAAACTATTTTCTAGAAGATAATTGGTAATTCGTATCCTATACAGCAATTTATAACGTTGTATTACTGACATACTTTATTCACGAATATCATATCAGTTCAACGAGGTCTACTGCTAAGCAAAGGTCTCCATTAGAGATCTCCACATCTAACGGCCTTGCGCTATTTGCATCTAGCACTTTCTACTATATTATAGGTCTTAACCATATTTTGGATATACTGGCAGTCATTTAGTTGTCAAATTAATGAGGGTATTTAGGAAAAGTTACGTCACCGGTTGGCGCCACTGTGACAAGACGTCATTTGTTTGAAGTTTTTGACCGCAAATCGAGCGAGCATTTGAATTGCCATAGCCTACGACGGATGAATAGACCTTTCGTCTCAGTACTACCACCTGGCGCCCGTCATTCCATAAAACCCTCGTATAATCACAGTATTAACTTAAAATGATTACTCTTTCCTCATCACAAGGCTGAAATAGTTTCGTTCGCGTTTTCCAGACAGAAAAGCAGGGCGGCCGTGCAGGGCGCTCCCGCCCTGCCGAGTTCTGTTCAGGTCAAAGGGCCAGACGAGGAGAAGATCAAGCAGATCCTGGCCCGCACCGGGTACACGCTGGACGTGACCACAGGTGAGTGACACCCATAGACTTAGGGAACGAAACATAGACAACGAGGAGGAGATCAAGCAGATCCTGACCCGCACCGGGTACACGCTGGACGTGACCACAGGTGAGTGACACCCATAGACTTAGGGAACGAAACATAGACAACGAGGAGGAGATCAAGCAGATCCTGGCCCGCACCGGGTACACGCTGGACGTGACCACAGGTGAGTGACACCCATAGACTTAGGGAACGAAACATAGACAACGAGGAGGAGATCAAGCAGATCCTGACCCGCACCGGGTACACGCTGGACGTGACCACGGGTGAGTGACACCCATAGACTTAGGGAACGAAACATAGACAACGAGGAGGAGATCAAGCAGATCCTGACCCGCACCGGGTACACGCTGGACGTGATCACATAAAGATATCAAGAACGTATAGTTAATAACATTTGCATGCCTAAAATTAAGTAGATTTTGAAGAACCAATGTTAAAATGAACACCTTATCATATACTCAAAGTTTTCATTCGTTACCTATACCTATACGAACTGTTGGCTGCACGTTCTCTTTGCCTTAGGGGGCGTCCATAAATTACGTGAGATGTTTAAGGGGGGGAGGGGGTCGAGTCAAATCTCATCTAATCTTACGTTGGAGAGAGGGGGGGTTGAGTCAAATATCACGTAATTTTTTTCTGACTTTAACAAAAAAAAATATACTATTTTGGTCCATTTAATCCAGATTGTACATGTTTAAAATTTAATCTTAAGCGTAATCGTAATACGATTAAGATCATTCACTATTACGTTCGAAAAAAACTACTCTTAGCAATATTGATTACTAGTCTCTTAACTAGTCGTAAATAAAAGCACGAAGCATTTTTTTTTTCTTTTTACAAAAACAATCCAACGCATTTACGTAAGAAACCCACATTTTGAAAAATCTCACGTGAGATAGGTGGATGGGGGAGGGGGTTGAATAAAATCTCACGACATCTCACCAGGGGGGGAGGGAGGGACAGAAAATTCAAAAAAACACCTCACGTAATTTATGGACGCCCCCTTAGGCTGATCGCATATGTACGGTCCTCATCAGGACCACTTGATGCACGTTCAACGAGGCGCCCACTATTCTCATTTTTTTTGAATGAAAAAAACCCAACCTTTCTATTCGTAAAAGAAGTTCCCAATTTGGATTACTGAATTGAAAAAAATCGAATCATGAAATCGTCATAAGCAGGTTGCCTGCTGCCACTATGGCCACCCTGCTTTAACTACATTGTTTATTTCTCGCGCTTGTTTTCTGAGTCTGAATCTGAGTGCACTCTGGCCGTACCCTTAGACTTGATGGCAGCTCTGAAGTTTGCACTTGATTTTGCAGTTTACAGGGAAATATAGTCGCGCTCGGCATGCCACTAAACTGAAACTTGAGCATAGTTGCGATCGGTGGCCATTAATTTGAATTGCACTATGTTGTAAGGAATCTATAGTAGATATTTGTCGTGCCCGTACTAATATAGTAAATGTATAGGATTAGACATAGGTATTTTCACTATCATCATCAGCCTATTAATGTCCCCACTGCTGGGACACAGGCCTTCCCTATGGATGGAATAGGGAGATTGGGCCATGACCCACCACCATGCCCAGTGCGGATTGGCGGGTGCTAACGACTGCAAATGCAGCCGGGACCAACGGCTTAACGTGCCTTCCGAAGCACGGAGGAGCTCGAGATGGTAAATTTTTGGTCACCCATCCAATGACTGACCACTGCGAAAGTAGCTTAACTTAACAACAATCTTAATAACGATCGCAGCCGAACGGGCGAGCCACCTGCGCCATCGAGCTCCTCACCATTTTCACTGTCAGTTGAATACATTTTCATTGAAGGTTTATAATTATATAAAGAAATTTATTTTGTGTAATACAAGCCTGAAAGCAAAAACTATAGTCTACCTACACTACAGCTGTACACCGAAGCGAAGCGAGGGCGGGAAGTCACAAGTGCATGAAACATTTTTTAGGTACAAAATTGGGCAGAGTTGTATGGAGAAAATAACAGATCCTGTGTCTGTTCATTTTGAAGCAAAAATAAAACTGATGAAATTTGTATAGTGCTGAAAAGGAATTTCCCGCACCCATTTTTCGGTGGAAAGGAAAATGCTATCAATATAATTAGTACGGTCAAGAATGCAATAATTAAAATTCATATAATAATTGTCACTTGACCACAGGTTACCTCATTCAAGGATAAGTTCGACCCTTTTGTTGCGAACGAGGATATGTCGTGTTTTATACTGCATTTTGAATAGTAGAGATTTTATTTGCTCCTAGATTGAAGCTCATTGATACTACAAAACGTATTCTTAAAGCATTGTTCGATTTCATACAAGGCTAAGTTAGTCGTTACGTCTCTTCTGATGGGGCGTGAGTGGAGTTTTAGTGGGTGCGCACCGTAAATAGGGCTGAAAAAAAAAATGACTAATACCCATCAAATAACAAATTACAAGAAACACTTTGTCCATGCATTACGATCTTTTAGATAATCATTAACTTTATTATTATAAAGAAGAGTATTCTTGATCTGAGATTTAAATTTGGTTAGTGGAAGCTCAATCAGATCTTGGGGAACTTTGTTAAACAATGCAATACTACAACCCAGGGGCCATTCAAGTATTACGTAAGCATTATAGGGGGGGCAGGGGGGTCTTTAAATTTCTTATTTTTTATGACATGGGGAGGTGGGAGGTCGAGATAGCGATTACGTCAGCATCATGGATTCGGGTGTAATGGACTGAAGACTATATAATTAAACCAAAAATTCGAAAGAAATTTGTTCGTAATAGTACCTTACTCTATGTTGAATACTGTGCCAATAAAGTTTGTTTAAATGAATAATAAGTGCGTTAAAGTCCTCTATCCTAAGCCTATTTCAATACTGCTGCTCATGAAAGCTCGTGAATCAACAAAAAAACAGAATACATTAAAGGAAAAATGCATGTAGGTACTATGGAGCTCTAACCAGAATGGACAGAACCTGGGGACGTGGCGATTAATTAAAACAACTTGACGATGGTTATTATTTTATATTAGATTTCAGGCGATTATAATTATTTTTATCTAACTACGAGAGGTTTGCTTGGTGCCTGAAGATCTACTCTTGAATGGAACCTTCTATCAGAAGACAGACGATTCCTTATTTCAAATCTTAAAATCATGACATTAACTTTTTAATATAACTGCCAACCGTAGGCATTGCAAAAGCAAAGAGTTTACCTAAACAAGGAGGCTGTAACGTCACGGACGTTACAGTACCAATGTTTATGTAAGCACGTGAGGGGGGGAGTAAGAGCTTTGCTTACTTTTGCTGACAAGGGGGAGGAGGGGGTAAATAATTGTAATAAATCTGCTTACGTAATACTTGAACGGCCACCCAACGAGTAGGATCACGATATGCGTATTGGTATACAGGGCAGCGTAAATACGGCGGGCCGCCGCCGGGCTGGGAGTGACATTAGTAGGCTCATTGTATGTGTATTGGTACGTAGGGCACCGTAAGTATGGCGGGCTCCTGACGGGCTGCGAGTGTTCTGTGCCCCAACTCAGTCCCTACTGTCCTAATGTCTCTACATTACGACCTCCGTGGCCGAGTGGTTTGTACGCCGGGTTTTATGGTGTAGCCGATTCGAGAGGTCCCGGGTTCGAATCCCCCGGTGGGGGCAGATATTTGTGTGATGAACACGAGCATTTGTACTCCAGTCATGGATGTTTAATATGTATTTCTATATAAATATACTTATATATGTACAGTATATGTATTCTATCCTTTACCCTAGCATCCCATAACACAAGCCTTATAGTGCTTACTTTGGGGCTAGGCTAATAGGGATGATGACAATTTTTTTTTCTTCGTTTAGCAGGTAGATTATCAAAAAGTATTGGACACGTATTTTTTCTTTTTTCACATATTATAAACATTGCAGAGATATATTGATTTGAAGTCGCATGACGTCACGTTTGAGTACCTACACTTTTAAGTGAAAATTCACTCAAAAGTGACGTCACGAGCCCCCACTCCCAAACTTTGACGCGCTATAACTTTGTCATTTTTTGGTTGATTACCCAAAGAAAAAATACGTGTCCATTATTTTTTGATTATCTTACTGACGGACTAAATAGAATTTCGTTTACTGTACCCCGTCATCACCCCTATTGGTGTGAGTGTTGGAAATATTTATTTATTGAAGTGAAACTTCTTTATCGGCGTTGGAAAAAAAATTACCGTCACATTTTTTCGGTTACGCGTCACATTTTTCCGTTACGCGCCATCTTTTCTTATATTAATAGTTGATAGCTGAATGATCACACTGTCGCCGGCGAGAACTCTCTCTACTCGTTTGTAGCTGAGTGACAATAGTTATTAAAGATAAGACTCGCTCAGCCAAACTCGCATAGCGATACTCGCTCAGCGATACTCGCCCAGTGATACTTGCTCAGCGATTCTCGCTCAGCGATACTCGCTCAGCTGAGCCGTGTAATCATAACAGTTTCATAGGCAGTAATTTGTATTCATGTCTATGATAATAAAATTTGTTTAAACTTTATCTAATTTAACTTTATTTAACCAATTTCTGGAAAGTTGCATGTAGATCATTTTTCGAAAATAAGGCCATAAAGAAGTTTCACTTCTTACGTGTGTACACTAGTACACGCACACATTTTTTTTATTTTATTTATTTATTTATTTAATTTAGATAACAAACAGTCTTATGCAAACATTTTTACAATTTGTTTACAAATAGACCTAAAGTACCATTAATTGATATATTGCTTTAAACTTTCATGGTCACTAACATTATAGCTAACGGGATTGTTACCATGTACCTTGTTTTTTATGAGTCTCCGATATTTCGGCACTGTTGCAAGCGCCATGATGACGGAATAACTGAAGTAATTGCGGGTAGATGTTATTGGCAGACATATCGGTCTACCCTCTGTCGTCGTCTTTTACTGCGCTCGATACCCCTACCATTGGTCACATTCTCACTATTCACTCGCATCTGTTCCCGACACACAATACTCACAGTATCAGATTGTATGATGATACTAGTACACGCACACATTTTTTTTTATTAGTAGGATCACGATATGCGTATTGGTATACAGGGCAGCGTAAGTACGGCGGGCCGCCGCCGGGCTGGGAGGGCGGCACGCCGGGCGCGGGCTGCGAGGTGTTCTGCGGCAAGATACCCAAGGACATGTTCGAGGACGAGCTCATACCGCTGTTCGAGCGATGCGGGCCCATCTGGGACCTGCGCCTCATGATGGACCCCATGACGGGCGCCAATCGGGGATACGCCTTCGTCACCTTCCAGGACCGGCACGCCACTGCGCGCGCCGTGGCTCAGGTAAATATACCTACAAACGGAGGAAAAAAACATGGTATTTTCAACCTTGAAAAAAAATTTTTTTTTTTTCGGTTACCTTTCGAATACCTACCTGGTTTCAAAAGTAGTTAGAAGGTTACCTGCACTGCACTTATTACATCTACACTATACACTACCCTCATGTCGACCAGATGTGCCAAACAGGAAAATCTTTAAAAAACCGGTAAAATAAGAAAGCTGTGTTTTTTCAACCCGGATTTTTTTTTTCTAAGAATTTTTTCTTATTTAAAAAAAAAACCGGGGATTAATTCAGCGTTATTAATAAATTTACCTGCACTACGCTATACCTACACTACACTTAACACTGCACTTTACACTATCCTCATGTGGACCAGATATACAAAGCAGGAAAATACTATAAAAAAACTGGTAAAATAAAAAAGCTGTTTTTTCGAACCGGATTTTTTTTTAATATTCGTAGTATTTTTTTTTCGGTGAAAAATTCACCATTATTACTAAATTTACCTGCACTACACTATACCTACACTACACCTTACACTGTACCCTTAGCACGAACCACTAAGGAAGTTGTCTTTTTAAATCGATCTCGTTACGCGTCAAATTGTCAACAAGTTTAGTATAAAAATTTGGTTTTGTATATGAATTAAAACGTTGTTAAAAAAAACATGATACCAACACTATCCTACTATACCGTACACTACCAACCACAATGTACTAGCTACCTGTACAAGTACCACTTTTCTAGCGACGCTGTTGAATATGAGAGTCCACATATTGACGCGCAAGAGGCAAAGCAAGAGAGACGCAGCCGAGATATTGTGACCTTTTTTTATTCCCCTATCTAGGGGATAGAAGAAATAAAAAAAAATTAAATGTTATGAAGAAAAAACTAATTTATTTATGCAATATCTATCTATGTTCCTACATAACATTTACATTGGTGCCAATTCTGGCGTGATTCTCTAAACTTAAATCTAAATTTAACTTCAGTCTCTCCTTTTCGTTCTGAATAGAGAATAACAAGGATACACTGTTGTCAAATTTAAGTTTAGGTTTAGAGAATCATGTCAGAATTGATACCATTATATGATTATAATTACTTAAAACTAAAACTAAGAGACATCTTTACTCCTCTTTATAAAATTAAAATAGGACGCTGGCACGTTTAGTCACGAAGTTCCCGTTAAACTTATGATATAGAAATTAGAATCAACTTAAATTGTTAACTTCTCAATTGTTTGCATCGCGTCACTCCTGTTTTGCGCTGCGCCATACACTACCCTTCATAACACCACACACTGCCCTCATGTGTACCCCTTGACCTAGACACTACACCAACAACACTATACACACTACAATGTAGCCAAGTACCGCTGTCCTAACGACGCTGCTTCGTACGAAAATCAACACTTGCCTAAAATTTATAATCATCTGTTTACAAGCATTTATAATTTTGAAATATTCGATTAGTGATGCAGCAAAAAAATGGATTATCGATATCTTGAAAAGAAATCACAGTATCGATTAGACTCTAATGTGTCAATACTATAATATTGAAAGCAATGAATTGATACACTCAATTAAAATTAACTGCTTTCCCATTTTTACCAAGAGGGAATTTACTCTACCGGCAAGTCTATACTTACAGCATCCAATGTGGGCTAAGAGTCTGGTGGAAATAATATTTATTATTTGCGCACTATCGGTAGACATTATTATCGATAGCATTTGTAACTATCTATATTGACAGTCCTCCGACACTACTCTATATTTAATGAATGAAAATGATTTACTTAAGCTGTGGTTACAATAATGTTAGACAGTTTGGACTTTACTTTTAACTGTTTCCAGCATATATTTTTTTTATAATATGTCATCCAGTAGCTACTTTTTAGGAAAATTTAATACAAAATCTAACTTAAACGAGATATTGGGTCTTGTTTACTACCGTCGTCAACATTTGAAGCCACCACCGAATGCTGTATTAAATTTAAATAAACTTCTGGAAATAACATAAATGCGAATACTCTTTTACTCTAAAATAAAATAAAACTTATTCCAGTCATTTGCTGTCTTTGATAAACTTATTTTAACATTTTTTTTTAATTGGATGTGATGATTTTAGGACAGCAGCTGTCGTTAAACCAACAGACCGTCTCCTCTCCCTCCAGCTACCATTCGGTCCGAATGCTTTGCGACTTACATGTTCTCTAGGGTAAGGGCGCGGTCCCATTGACAGCTGTTAACTGAAGGTCTATTAACTTTATATAATAATTTCATGTGACTAAAAACTATTAGAGTATGCCGGGGTCATATAAAGTTAAATAAATTTTATATTCAAACTTAAGTCACTTCTCGCACAATTTAAACTTCAAGTTAATGAACACAATTCTACAAATATAGTGAACAAAACACGAGGCTTATATAACCATTTGCCTTACCTGTTTATAATTTATAACCTAACCTTTAAATCAATTGCAATTTTTTTAGTAGAAAGTGCTAAGCCAATGGTTAATAGCTTTCAATGAAACCGCACCCCAAAGAAACCTTTGCGAATTGGTTAGTACTCAAAAGCCCATTCCTGATCGTGCGGTCTTCGTCGCCACTACCTTACAGATATTAAATCCACATATATTATGAAGCAGTATTCGCATGACAGGACAGAGATCTAGTATAAGTCTTGTTAAACCGATCTATTAAAAAAAACTTACGCCGAAAAATTTAAAGACTTTAAAAATTCAGTAATAATACCGCCAAGATGAATTGGTTGTTGACTTTGTAGTCTAATTTTGAATCGCTCCATACAAGATAAATTTCTACGTTTTATTTGATAATTCAATTGGAATGGAGCTGTAATCAAGCCATATACTTGGTTCCATACTTCTGTTGAGAACCTTCATATTCTTTAAGAACAAAGGTTACTAAGCCGTTGAACGGTTATAGCTTTTGCTGGGTAGGTTAGAGGTTTATTGACGATTTACAAAAACATTGCTGATTCCTTCAGCAAAAGTAGTCACCTACATTCATGCAACTTGGGTAGACCAAAAATAGGCATTTCATAACGTGGTCCCTTAGTGTTACAACCTCAAATCTATGTAGGATTACAATCTGAAATCTATGTAGGTTTACAACCTGAATTCCTGTAGGATTACAACCTGAAATCTATATAGGATTAACTTGAGTTATTGTCCTTGCAACGTGTAAGCCGCTTCTAAGAAGTACTTCTTTCGTATTGCATTAAAATTCGCATCGATTTCCTTTAGTAACCCCTCGGAAGGATTTTTGGAAAATAATTTATTATTGCGTTGTTCAATTAGTTTAATGTAATCAGTATTTTATCAGCTTACTGAGATTTTAAAATGCAAACTGGAGAATGCTTAATTCATCTTGTCTATATCAGAAAGGTACATTACAATTAGTCGTAAAATGAATTGCGTCAAATACTTTTTTCCATTACCAGCAATCGCTATAAAATCTACATAAATCCGTTGTTCTGTGTCAATGTACCCTGCTCTCTTCCTTGAATTGCTTAAATGTGATTTAAAACAGAAATACAAAATACCTACTTTATAATGAGATTCAACTAAGAATAGGATCGACTGGGCGCCATATTTTGACGTCATAGCTGTCCATTCAAACCAAATAGGTAAAGTGAGCAAAAAAATGTTGCTATTAAAAAAAACTTGTTTACTAAGATTAAGTGAGACCAAACATCAGATTATTTAATAAATTTAATTTACTAAGATTGAGAAAGAACATAACCGATTTTTAATAGTATTTCTTTATTATGACTGTGTGAAAAAAAAAATCAGAATCTAGCTCTTCAATTTGGCTCATCTCTGCATTACCGCCGGAGAAGTTATGAATAATCATGCAGGTCACATACGAACATGCATCCTATATGTAAACGAAAGTTGAGTTTCTGAAGGTAACATAAAGTGACATTTGGTTGACGATTTAGAAAAAATAAATGAAATAAAATATAAATGAAAATAAAAACAACTAATATTAATTATCAACATTTGTTATTATTTGTTTAAAAATGTTTGGTTTTTATTCTAGAATCAGACGAGTGTTAAAAAAGTGTTCCGAGATTTATTTGCAAACCGTACTTTTCAAGCGACATTTGACAGATGGAGGTCATTAGCTTTCCTATTCTTATTTGAATCGCATTATATATGTAAGCGCTGAGATTTCAATAGTCTAGTTTGTTCTAACATAGATATTAAAAAACTGACAAGATTTCGGTGAAAGAATCACATTTCGGCAGTTTAAATTCTTTGCATCAGATCAGATATATATAAATGTGTTCAAGAGAGTGGTAAATTCGAAAAATACTTCTTTCTTCTTTATTTTGTGCTCCTATATTATCTATCACCTTCTTTGGTGCAAGAAGAGATTCCTAAAACTGAAGATTTCGTTTACTGCTTTGCTGAAATTTTGTAGTCGAAAAGAAAACTTGATTTACAAATTGGTGCCATCAGTCCATCGCATTAAAGCACAAATCTTTAAACCATGAATGTGATTCTGTTGCAATTAGAGATATCAGAATGCTTAGTGACGGCGGCACCAGTTTCCTGCGTTCTGGATGTAATCAGGCACGTATAGGCAATATTTTCAGTGCACTGTGTTATCGCAAAATACTATAATAATAATAATTAAATTTCATAAAATTGGTAACACAAAATTTGTATAAACTAAAGTATTTTTTTATCATTATTGTTATGTTTAATTGGTGTATTGATTTGAAACCAAAATTTATTCTAATTTGACATCTACTTTCCAGGTGACTCGGCGAATGTTTAAGTATAACCCCCTTGAAAGATAACCGATTCACAGCACTATAGCTGCCCTTAGTATGGCGACTTCTTTCCCTGTAACCGATCGGGTAGTCATCAAATTCCTTTGCTCTAACTTCCTATGAATATAATCCGCGCTGGCGTCTCAAGACTGTGAATAGTTCAGATTTTCGATGATTCCCCCCCCCTCAAATTGAAGTCTCCAAACTAAGGTATCACTTGCAAGATTACTAGTTATCATCGGCCAGTATTTTTGCAAGTCCCGTTCATTTGCCTGTCAAATAAGTTCACAGTCACTCTTGGGAGATATAGATTTAAGCTTCTTCTACCATTTAAATAGCATGACATTAATATCCCCCTAGAGGGCGCTCGCACGCATAGTTAACTTAACCGTATGCTAATCACTCACACCGAATCCTTTAATTGTAGCAATCAGACGTAACCAGTACAAAATTGAGTTGCGACCGCCCTCGCGACATGTAATCACTGAACTGTAATTGTGCAAACACATAACACCTTAATCAAACCGATCAGCCTCGCTTCTCCTGAGATATCATCCCGTTCTTACTGTTGCACCTCGTTAAATTTTTATTTGCTTTAACTTATTTTTTTTTTGTTTACCATATCACACGTATCGCTTGTTTTATTTTCACATCATCAACGGTCCACTTACAGGGTTAACTCGATTGGCTTAATTTCTCGAACTGAGACTCGGGCACATCTCAGGCTCTCCTCTTTGCTCAGTCGAGCGCCGCTTCTCATGTCAGCAACTACCGGCGACTCATGTCAGTAACTGTAACTGTCACCGTATCCGCGCCTCACGTCAGTTTAACTTTAACCGTAACTCATTGGCTATGCGGGCCGCGGCCGCGCGCTTCCGAATTCATCGACCGACGTTTCACCCTTCTCGGCTCATCATTCGTAACCGACGCACTTTTCAAAATTGTTCCCTTGTTATTTTTCCCACAGCTCGATAATCACGAAATAAAACCTGGCAAGACTCTGAGAATTAAGATTAGCGTACCGAATCTGCGACTTTTCGTCGGCAACATTCCCAAGTCTAAAGGCAAAGAGGAGATACTGGAAGAGTTTGGTAAATTAACAGGTAAAGTGTCACACGAATGAATTAAGGAGTTTAGAGTTTGGTGGGTTGTGCGTGGGGCTTGGTGTGGACCGCTGGGTGCCCCGCTTGCGTCCCGCTTGTCCCGCGATCCTGGCCCGGCCCTTCCGCTCCCGGCCCGGCCGTCTCCTCCCGGCCCGGCCCTCCCCTCCCTGGCCCTGGAGCCGGGCCCGGCCCGACTGGCCCCGGGCCGGGCGCGGCCGCAGCCCGCTGCGCCCGTTGGCTATCCTCCTCGAATTGTTCTTGCAGCTGAATGATTATGAAATTCGAAAGGGGAAAAAGATTGGCGTTACCGTTTCCTTTAACAATCACCGGTTATTCGTGGGGAATATCCCTAAGAATCGAGATCGGGACGATTTGTTCGAGGAGTTCACTAGGCACGCACGTAAGTCCTTGCGGATTAGATTCGAGCGGGCGAGACGGCCTGCGGGCCGCCTGGCTCGGCCCATGACCTCACTCGTCCCGGGCCTAGCGCCTAGCGTTGATTCGCTTCATTCCTGCCTGAAGGAAGTAGCGCGTTCGGGGCCGTGGGAAGCTTTGATACTTTGATTGCTTCGCTCGCCTCCAGCCGCTGTAACCCTCTCCTGTGATTGCAGCGGGACTCGTGGAAGTTATAATATATAGTTCGCCCGATGATAAGAAGAAAAATAGAGGATTTTGTTTTTTGGAATACGAGTCTCACAAAGCGGCGTCATTAGCGAAACGTAGACTGGGAACTGGTAGAATAAAGGTACGTTGCGGGGCTCTGTTCTCTCATGTAGACAGAAGGACTGTTTTTTTTGTCAGCGGACTGTAATTAGAATTATGAAAGATTCTTTGCGATGTCACATCACTGATAGTGCTAGTTGTGTTACCTTACTTTAATATGAACGAGCAGCTATGGTCAGCATATTGCAGCAGATATACATAACATTGTTCAAATAATATTCGGATTTATAATGTTATTGTAGTTTTCCATTAGTTTTAAGAAGTGGAAAAAAACTGAATTCCATTGTGGCCATGTCGTGGGAGCCAGGTGGACGGTGGGATACTATTCAGTACAATCCAATCTGAAAATGGATTTTATACTTTCACATTAAAACTTGTAAAGCGACTAACAGTCCATAAACAGTCCCTCTGTCTATATGATTTTATTGATACATTTTCCCTGTGGCTCTTAATATTAACTATAAATTTGGTGTTTAGGTATGGGGCTGTGATATAATAGTGGATTGGGCTGACCCCCAAGAAGAACCAGACGAGCAAACTATGAGTAAAGTAAGTACAATTCACATTTTAAAAGTAACTTTGCTAGTATGTATACCTATATATATATATCTAGGTGTATCCCACAGTAACCCTTACGAGATGCTACAAATTATAAAAAAAAAACTTAATAAAATTTACAGTAATGAGCTGACCTAATTTAATGTACTAAATTAATATTGTGGTGATATGAACTACGGAGCTAGACCTTGTAACTTATCTGTTATTACACTTGTCCGGGAAAACAAGGAAGACAATAGGGGTGATGACGGGGTACAGTAAACGAAATTCTATTTAGTCCGTCAGTTAGATGATCAAAAAATAATGGACACGTATTTTTTCTTTACGCAATCAACCAAAAAATGACAGTTATAGCGCGTCAAAGTTTGGGAGTAGGGGCTCGTGACGTCACTTCTAAGTGAAAATTGTACCAACACGTGACGTCATGCGACTTTTCAAATCAATATATCTCTGCAATGTTTATATTATGTGAAAAAAGAAAAAATACGTGTCCAATACTTTTTGATAATCTACCTGATAAACAAAGAAAAAAATAGTCATCATCCCTATTATGCTGGTTCGATTCCAACGTGGTAATTTCAACATGTCGTAGTTAACTATGTAACTAAGACTTCTTTGATAGTTATTTTTTTATTTATTTTTAAGCATTTAACTGCTAGATGTTTAAATCTAAAGAAAAGTTTACTAGAAAAAAATCCACGCGGACCAGGCAGCGGACGGGACTCGAACCCGCACCCTTCGCTATCCGGGCGAATGCACTGACCATTATGCTACCACTGCCCTATTCGCCGCGTCGAAGTCGCGTTTTTTTCTAGTAAACTTTTCTTTAGATTTCTTTGATAGTTTTGTTTTTCGCGCCGGCTCTTATCATTTCTTGATATTGTCTATGAATTTTGAGCGTCATGTTCGATTGAATTCTTTACAAGTAAACAATGTTTTAGGTAAAAGTACTGTACGTTCGAAACCTTACGCAAGAGATAACTGAGGAGGCGCTAAAGGAGGAGTTTGAGCGCTACGGGACCGTGGAGCGTGTCAAGAAGATCAAGGACTACGCTTTCGTACACTTCGACGATCGGGACTGTGCAGTAAAGGTTTGTTTAATTTTTGAAGTGAAACTTCTTTATCGGCGTTGGAAAAAAATTTACCGTCACATTTTTCGGTTACGCGTCACATTTTTCCGTTACGCGCCATCTTTTTTTATATTAATAGTTGATAGCTGAATGATCACACTGTCGCCGGCGAGAACTCTCTCTACTCGTTTGTAGCTGAGTGACAATAGTTTTTAAAGATAAGACTCGCTCAGCCAAACTCGCATAGCGATACTCGCTCAGCGATACTAGCTCAGCGATACTCGCTCAGCGATACTCGCTCAGCGATACTCGCTCAGCGATACTCGCTCAGCGATTCTCGCTCAGCGATTCTCGCTCAGTGATACTCGCTCAGCGATACTAGCTCAGCGATACTCACTCAGCTATACTCGCTTGGTTAAGCTGGCTTGGCTGTCAAAAGCCGTGCGCGTGCATTTAAATTCAGGACTGCCAATTCGTTTCTAGTTTCTACTCGCTTATCGTTCATCGTCGGAGGTGGAACATGTGCCTTAGATTACTGAGCCGTGTAATCATAACAGTTTCATAGGCAGTAATTTGTATTCATGTCTATGATAATAAAATCCTTTTGTTTAAACTTTATCTAATTTAACTTTATTTAAACAATTTCTGGAAAGTTGCATGTAGATCATTTTTCGAAAAATAAGGCCATAAAGAAGTTTCACTTCTTACGTGTGTACACTAGTACACGCACACATTTTTTTATTTTATTTATTTATTTATTTAATTTAGATAACAAACAGTCTTATGCAAACATTTTTACAATTTAAGTTTACAAATAGACCTAAAGTACCATTAATTGATATATTGCTTTAAACTTTCATGGTCACTAACATTATAGCTAACGGGATTGTTACCATGTACCTTGTTTTTTATGAGTCTCCGATATTTCGGCACTGTTGCAAGCGCCATGATGACGGAATAACTGAAGTAATTGCGGGTAGATGTTATTGGCAGACATATCGGTCTACCCTCTGTCGTCGTCTTTTACTGCGCTCGATACCCCTACCATTGGTCACATTCTCACTATTCACTCGCATCTGTTCCCGACACACAATACTCACAGTATCAGATTGCGGAACGACCCTTTTTTGATTTTTACGGTTTTTGCACATACGAACCACTGGATTCCAGACACTTGACAATTTAAACCCATCCTCAGGGTTGAAATTTTTGTGTTTGGTTATTTCAATCGCTTCCCTGACCAATCTTGGTATGTAGTTGCGTTCTGTCGAGATGATTTGTGGATTATGGAGCTCAATCCAGTGATTAGGACCCGAATCGATTAAATGTTCCGCGATAGCTGATTTCTGCGTATCAATTGATATGTTATTATTATATTCAAGCGGCATAAAAGTGACGGATAACTGTAAACATATGATATACATCGCCGCCGCACGCGTTATACTATTTAAACAATAATTCACCCACTTTCCTTTTGAAGTTGTTAAGTGATTCACTGAAAATATCTGCTTCATTCAAGTTCTTATTGTAAAAATTACATGTCCGTCTAAAAGAGGTTTTTCTAGCATAGTTGGTATGGCAACTTGAAACATAAAAGATATCTTTTAAACGTGAGGAGAAACGAGGAACTTTGAGCACAATAATCCGCAGTCGGAAGTATTCAAAATCCTTATACACAGTCAGGTCATAAGTATTGTCACACAATAAAAACTTTTCTTTTAGAATGCTGGCCACAAAAAAGTTTTAAGAATTCGAATTTCGAATTGTTCATGAAAATAAAAATGTATACTTTTTAGAATTTTACTCATTTTTAAATATGGAGTGGACGCTTAAAGAAGACCGTGACCGAAGACCCAGATGGAACGCTAGCTCGGAAGCCGCAGGAGAAAGCCGATTTACTGGCAAAACTCTTTGCGGCTAACTACCGAATCGATGATTGCAATGTACTGCCACCATTACCTCATTGTGGCACAACAATGCCTGATATCAAAATCAGGCAGCGTGAGGTTCGTGCCGAATTGCAATCACTCGACGTCCGTAAAGCTAGTGGACCTGATGGCATCCCAGCAGTAGTACTGAAAAAATGTGCAGCGGAGTTCTCCCGTGCTCACGCACTTCTACCAATGCTCGTATTCTTTGGGGCGTGTGCCGGAGACTTGGAGAGATTCTAACGTGCAACCGGTGCCCAAAAAAGGGGATCGCTCAGACCCGGCAAACTACCGGCCATTAGCAGTCACCTCAGTATTATGTAAAGTTCTAGAAAGGTCCTTAACAACCATCTGACCCGCAACCTAGAGGATCACTCCCTGATTAATGATCGTCAATATGGTTTTAGACCGAAATCATCGACGGGTGATCTTCTAGCGTACTTTACTCATATCTGGGGTGAGTATATCGACAAGCGTTGCGAGTCGTTGGCCATCAGCCTTGACATTGCCAAGGCGTTCGACAGGGTCTGGCACAAAAGCCTTCTCTCCAAGCTTCCAGTATAAGGTCTGCCGGCTTAGTTCTGTTCTTGGGTAGCTGACTTCCTGCATGAGCGTAGAATTCGTGTCCTTACGGATGGTAGCAGTTCGCGGTTCATGTCAGTGAATGCCGGCGTTCCCCAGGGCTCCGTCCTATCCCCCACTCTCTTTCTGCTGAATATCAATGACTTAATTCCTCTTGGAAATATGAATTGCTATGCAGACGATAGTACAGCGCATGCGGAGTATCTCGGATAAGCAGCGGCTGGGCAGGCGGTAACCAAGGAGAAAAGGCAGAATCTTGTCATTGAACCCAATCAGGCTTTGGACCACATTTCCGAATGAGGAACCAGGAACTTGGTTGAGTTCAATGCCAAGAAAAGGCATTGCGCTTTCACGGCAATAACATCGCCATTCCTTCCCCTTCCCTCTCTCCAGGGCACAACACTGGCGCTACAGAGCAACATTACCATGCTCGGTATGGAAGTTCGCTCAGACCTGATTCCAAATAACTACATCGAAACCATGATCAAAACAGTTTCACGCAAACTGGAGTCCTGAACAAGGTGCGGCGTTTTTTCACGCCCGATCAACTGTGCTTGTTGTACTTGTACACAACGCAAGTGCGGTCCTGCGTGGAATATTGCTCGCACCTCTGGGAAGGCTCCGCCAAGTACTAGTTCGATGCTTTGGATAGGTTACAGCGCCGCGCGATCCGCATCATAGGCGATGAGGAGGTGACTATACACTTCTAGCCTCTTCAATTACGCCGTGACGTGGCGTCCACTAAACGCGTTCTATCGTCTGTACGACGGCGAGTGTTCTAAGTTATTCACTCTTATTCCACCTTCCCCTTTCCTTCAGAGGACCACACGCGCTGGCCTACGTTGTCACCGTCTAACTGTGGCTACAGTTCTAACGCGTACAAAGAAATTTGGTGACTCATTTCTTTGTCGCACTATCCGTAAATGGAATGCTCTGAGCTCGTGAGCGGGCTCACGTGTTCCCTCCCTCTTACAACCTGGGATCCTTTAAAAGAGGCGTGAAGAAGCAACATGCAGGCCGGCAGGGTCAGGATGGCTGGTGCGGCAGGTAGAACTGCTGTATCAGCTATCTTCGCGTCTGGACTTCACCTTCATTTCACATCAGGTGGGGTGAAGTAATTTGTCGGACCTATCTATAAAAAAAAGTATGTGTTGCAAGTATGGTTCGTATTCGCAGGCGATGCAAGAGCTGGACGGTAAGGAGATGGGCAGCGCGCGCCTGGAAGTATCGTTGGCCAAGCCGCCCTCCGACAAGAAGAAGAAGGAGGAGATCCTGCGCGCCCGCGAGCGCCGCATGATGCAGATGATCCACGGCCGCGGCGGGTGAGGACACGTTCATTATAATATCCAACAGGTGGCGCCTCCAAGCCTTATATTAAAACAAAAAGGGTAGATACGGTACGCTCATACTTGCATCAAACAAAAACTGATCCCACGGCAGCGCGAACGGGACGGCGAGATCCGCGTCACTGCACTACCGACCAATCACGCGACCAGTACTCGACGTCACTACCGAATAAGATTAAAAACAAACAGCAATTTTTATGAAAAAATATATTTTATAGTACTTACGAATGAAAAGTGATGCCGTGGGTTTTATTTTTAGTTCTTGAGCAATTTGAGCACTTTTTAAGAACACACTTAGGCATTGTTTTATCATATAAACACAAAATATTAGCAATATTTCTTTTTGGCATTCACATTTACGTCGTTTGCATGTCAAGTTGTGACTAAAGCGATTAGGGTCGTGGACCACAATTTATGTGGATCACTTTTGTGAGGCTAGTGCCGTATCTACCCTTTTTGTTTTAATCTAAGCTCCAAGCTGCCCTCCGACAAGAAAAAGAAGGAGGAGATCCTTCTCGCGATGCTAGTTTAAATGGGATGTTTTTGCATTATAACTTTTAGCAAGGTTTGAATTTCGTAATTATTTCTATGTTATTCACGTAACATTACAAAAACACTTTGGTAAAACTTCTCGTAATTTTAATTGAAACTGAAAACAAGTTTTGTTTTCAGATTTCCACATACACACTCGCGCAGTCTTTTAGAAAATGTATTACCTATTTTCTTCTTGTTTTAATTATTTCTTACCGCTTCTTGATTTCTTTTTGCTTTGTAAAAAAAATGGTTGCCTGTAAAGTCGGTTTTACGGGCGAAGATTTTACGTGACAACGTCTTTTTCTCGGTAGAATATTTATTGATATGAATATAATTAAATTGCACAATAGGAACAAGGAATTGAATGAAAATAAGAATTGCACAAATTTTAACTATAGAAATATATTTTGTTTACTAAAACATTGTACATGTAAACTTAAACTCATCGTAACGTTACCGAGCGTTACACTTTTTCATAAGTGACTCCCAGCCGCAACCTAATTTAAGACGTTGTTACGTCAAAAAATATTATAACAATAGGCATGATGACGGGGTAAATTAAACGAATTCTATTTAGTCCGTCAGTTAGATGATCTAAAAATAATTGACACGTATTTTTTCTTTGGGCAATCAACCAAAAATTGACAAAGATAAAGCGCGTCAAAGTTTGGGAGTAGGGGCTCGTGACGTCACTTTTAAGTGAAAATTGTACCAAAACGTGACGTCCTGCGACTTTTCAAATCAATATATCTCTGCAATGTTTATATTATGTGAAAAAAGAAAAAATACGTGTCCAATATTTTTTGATAATGAGAAACGAAGAAAAATAATTAGTCATCATCCCTATTGTATATCAATTTTCTACAAAGGTTTAAGTTAATACTTTGGAACAACGTGGCACATCTCTGATCTTTGTTATAAAATAAGCTTTTTTTTTACCCACTAGCCTCAAAATGTCATGCCTTACGACTCAAACCTTTGTTTCTGTAATATCTACTCTTGCGATTAATCTGCGGGCCATTTGTTTCAAAGTTTCTGTTGCTTTTATATTTGTATCTATTTTACTCACAGCCTTTTATTTTTTTAAAGAGCACTTTTATATTATTACAATTTCTTTATCCATAGATTGTTTTATTAAGTTTCAAAATGTGTCAAGGGAGATTTCTTGTGACATTTTTCGATTTGTACAAACTCTTTCGTCCTATTCACAGTATGTAAGCGCGGTTGTAAATTTAAACTTGATTTTAGTCCATTTATCTACATTCCTTTATGCATTCCGATAGCTGGTTTCACCATTCTTAGAAATTTATTAATTTATGGAGGATTAAATTATGACTTCCCCATTAAATAGATTTTCCTTCTAATGTAACCCTGTTTTTAGTGTTCATAAGGTTTTGGACGATCTAAAGCTACACTTAACCGTACCATTTTTATTGCTTGAAATATTAGCTCTATTATCCAAAATTTTCGTTCCAACCACCATGATTTTATTCGTAAATTCAACTAAGCCAATATCTGAAACATTAAAAAAAATCATCACGAACTAGCTTCTATGTACCCAATGCACAAATATTCGTACGATTACGCCACCAACAATAGAGACATTTAAAAAGTATTCTTACGAACTGAACTAGCCTCCATAATAATTATACAATTACGATCTGAAATCTATAAAAATAATCATCACGAACCAGCTTCTATTTACCGAAAGTATACATTTTCATTCGGTTAAGCCTCCAACAATGGGAACCTTTCAAAATTGCCCTTACTAACCCCCATAATATACAATTACGATCTGAAATCCATAAAAATAATCATCACGAACCAGCTTCTATTTACCGAATGGGAACCTTTCAAAATTGCCCTTATTTGTACCAACTCTGGGAGCCTTTTAAAATTGCCCTTATTAGCTCCAGCAATAGGAACCTTTCAAAACTGCCCTTATTAGCACCGACAATGGGAACCTTTCATCCCTTATTAGCACCAACAATGGGAACCTTGCATCCCTTATTAGCACCAACAATGGGAACCTTTCATCCCTTATGAGCACCAACAATGGGAACCTTTCATCCCTTATTAGCACCAACAATGGGAACCTTTCATCCCTTATTAGCACCAACAATGGGAACCTTTCATCCCTTATTAGCACCAACAATGGGAACCTTTCAAAACTGCCCTTATGCCCTACTAGCCTCCTTAATATACAATTACGATCTAAAAACCTATAAAAATAGTCATCACGAACCAGCTTCTATTTACCGAATGCATACATCTTCATTCGGTTAAGTTACTAACAATGGGAACCTTTCAAAATGATCCTTACTAGCCTCCATAATATACAATTACGATCTGAAATCTATAAAACTATAAAAATAATAATCACGAACCAGCTTTTATTTACCGAATGCATACATTTTCTTTACTAGCCTCCATAATAAAATTATTATCTTGTTATATTCAAAATTATCTTTACTAGCCTCCATACTATATACAATTACGATCTAAAATCTATGAAAATAATAATCACGAACCAGCTTCTATTTACCGAAAGCAAACTTTTCATTCGGTTAAGCCTCCAACAATGGTTACCTTTCAAAATGATCCTTACTGGCCTCCATAATATACAATTACGATCTGAAATCTGTTAAAATAATTATCACGAACCAGCTTCTATTTACCGAATGGGAACCTTTCAAAATTGCCCTTATTAGCACCAACAATGGGAACCTTTCAAAATTGCCCTTATTAGCACCAACAATGGGAGGGAACCTTTCAAAATTGCCCCTATTAGCCTGGGTAATATCCGATGAGGAGCTTTGAAACACATGTCCGGCGGCTCACCGTGGGTCGGGGCGGTGTGACCCGCGTCTAACGTGTGGCTATTAACTGTCAGATTTGATTGGTGCAGCTGCTCGCCCGTGCACGGCGCCATGCGCGGCCGCACGCCGCAGCCGCAGCCGCGCCCGCCCGCCGCGCGCGGAGATTACGGTCAGTATGCACACATACACACATACACACGGTGACGCGCGCGCTACGCACCACTGTACACACTCTGCGATATATTTACAAACGTGCTGCGGCAGAATGATCTAAACATTGTTGAGACATGTAGGGGAAACCACCCGATCGTTGGCACTCTTCCTATTATTGGCACTTTTGAGTTTAGTTTAGAAAAAACCAGGAAGCGATAGATTATAGGAATAATGCTGCCAATTTGCAAATTTCGTAACCATACTAGTTTTTCTTTTTAACATGTAGCGAACTTGAATAATCTATTGTCTCCTTGTTTTTTTCGAATTAAACTCAAGTGCCAATAATAGGACTAGTGCAATTGATTGGGTGGTTTCCCCTAGATAGTTTTCAGACTATTCGGGTGCAGTATCCGGCTCGAAGGACCGTTATTTACATTTATACATTATTTTTTCAAACTGGTTTCTTTAAATGAAACATAAAAGTTTGGACTTAAATCTTTAGTTTTTCCCTGGAAAGTTATATTGACAATATAGGGTGTTACAAAAATACAAATAAATCTTGAAGGGCGTTGACGTACATCATATAAGGAGTCTTCTCTAATTTTCTTAAAATATTTGTATGAAGTTTTAACTTTTTATAAAAGCAGTTATTTTTAATGATCCTCGACTAGTGACGTGTCTTAAAATGATCAATATTTTTATTAATCATTAAAAATAACTTAAGTTTTTATAAAAAGTTAAAACTGAATGCAAATATTTTAAGAAAATTAGTGAATACTCTTTATATGATGTACTTCAACGCCCTTCAAGCTTTATTTGTATTTTTGTAACACCCTCTATAAAAAAACCATAAATTACAACAAGAAGTTCAGACACTGACACGCGTTTCCGCCGCCAACAGTATGATCTTAAGCATTATCGCAGTGCGATTTTTGCTGAAATAAAAAAATAAAACGAAGTACATTAAGTACACCTGTCGTTGAAACACTATTATGTATGATATTTTAACATCTTTTTATATATAAAATAAAACCACTCGTTCTTCGCAAATATGCGCACACTTGATGAAGATAAAGATTTAAGATGCCGTTTAAAATATTAATATGCAAAACTTCACTTTTAGATCATTTTGACGCCCTTCCTTGAAAGGTTTTGGCAGCGATAGGTGGATTCTCAAATAATTAAACACTGACATAAGAAATTGCGTTGACGGCGTTTTTATATTTACAGCCACAGATCAAGTTATCCTAAACTCTCCAACTAACTTTGCAAAAATTATTTAGAAAATATTATTTTGCGGTAATGGTACTTGATGTATGGCTGTCTATACATAGATGAACAGTCTTAACTTTAATATCATATTGGGCTCACGAGCGTATCTGCGAAAATCTTGGGAAATTGCATTTATCCATTGTAAAGCAGATTATATTATTTCTGAAGGAAAATCTACCTATCGGTTATATTTTGAAACTATACATAATGACACAAAACGACAAGTAGTATGCGGGCGTTGAAGAGAGAGAGTGTTGAACTTTAAGCAGTGTTTTATATTTCGGTAACTGTTCTATCAGTTTTCTGGTTGTCTCTCTTCAAGGTCTTCTCGAGAACAAATATGTGAACAACACGGTGTGGTCTCCACGTGCACACTCGCACATTCTGCTATTTCCCTTACTAACCAGATGGCGCCTCTGTACATAAGAATTTCCACTCACGAGTGTTGCCACGCACTGTAACAATGTTGCTGCTTCAAAAAACTCCATTAAGAGTGAAATTCTTATCGTATCGTTGAGCCTCCAAACATACTCATTAACGCTACTTCCAAAGCTAGAAATAACGACGAAACAGCATTAGGATCAGTGCATGAGACAGGAGAGTCAATAATAATAAAAAAAAAACATACATCGAGCCGTTCTACGCAGGGTCACACATAGTAATGTAATAACAAAATTAACAAATCGAAATTGCATGCTTCAAACATATTCATTTTGTCTGATGTCAGTTTTCCGCCGAGATTCCTGGTGCATTAGTTTAGGTGGTGGTGGGACGAGGAGAACGAGACATTTTCTGTTTGAAGCGTGTCTGAGTGTTAGAAGCTATCCTAGTGAGTGGGGGCAGGGGAGAGGAGGGGGGGGGGGGCATGTTTGAGAGTGGCGTGGTGTGTGTGTGTGTGTGCGGCGACGTCGACGCATGTAGTGTCCGTGTGTTGTCGCTGCGTGAAGGAGCTCGGGTGTCGGAGCTAACCCCAGTGTGCTGCACCTACCCAGAGTACTGTGACATTCGCATGCGTCTAATCGTTAATCTTTTCCCGGTACGAGTGCGTGGAGGCTCGCAAACCGCCAGCCGATACGGGTAGATTTTAAGTTAGTGATAGTTTCGCTTAGCCTCTAAAAGGCCTGTGTTGTGTGTTTATAGATTATGATTACGACTATTACGGGTACGGTGATTACCGAGGTGGCTACAATGAGCCATTTTACCGGTACGATGAGTTCTATTTTGATTACGCGGGGCCACCGCAACCGTCCGCCGTCCGCCAGCCTCCCAACAGAGCGCAACCGGTGGGTCCCTCACACACTCACTAATTATCACTATTATTTACTAGTCACTAGTCGCTGTACTCATCATATCGTTCTTTCGATTTTGATTTGCCGAATCTTTTATTTTTTTCTCATGTTGTTTTCGTTGATCCCATTCCTCGCGAACGGAGTTAGTGACTCGGTAATGAGAAACGAACGGTAGTGTGTAGGCCTGACGGTGGTGATTGTATAAGCAGCGGCGGGCGGCCGCAGCCTCTATGGAGAAGTATACGCAAAGCTCGACATAGATGGCGCTGCAAACGCTTGACCCAAACCACAGCCAAATATTGCCGCTGTCAAATTTTAAACGTGTTTTTTTGTTAATAAAAATATTAAATAAGTGGTGAAAATATATTCAATATGGTTTGTAATACAGCTAAAAACAGAGTTGAAAAGGAGAGGAGCATCTGTGAAGTAGAAGGGTACTCTTTCTATTATTATGCTAGAATGCTCATTCTTGGTACATATATTCATTTTCCATGATTATTTTAATAGTTAATGGATCTGAGTAAGTTTTAGCGGGCTCATTAGTCAAATCTATCTTATTTTTGCATCAGTCAGACATCTCATAGAGTTAGGTTACCTCTGGTTTTAGTCGGTAAGCATGCTCATGCTCTCACAACAACCAGGAATTGCACAACTCGGCATTTGTAAGTTGTTTAATAAAAAGCTTAAAAATGAATATAAGCTAATAGGTATATTGTATTTGATCGAAGTTTTTGGGTCAAGCGATTACAGCGCCCCTAGTGGCCAAATTTTGCAGAATTCTTGTCCATTGATCGCCGGGAAAAGTTAGCGGGCGGGGTGGCTCGGCCGATCTCACCATCAGGTCTATAGGCTGACGCCACTCCAACTAACCTAACCGTCACCTGGACACCCGGAACCCAGTCCTGTCCTCAGTTGCCTTACGTTAGCGCCGCTTACCTCATCCCCGCTTGTCACCATCACTTAGCGCTTCGCTTGCTCTGTTACTAACCTGATAACACGCTTTGAGCTTGGCCACCCTCGCACACTTAGTTCAGGAATGATTGATGCTCTTTGCTCGGGACGCTCGTGTAACGTTGTTTTATTCTCGTTGCCGCAACGAGATAGAGAATATGTTAAGAAGACTTACTGACCCGCTTGGTAAATGCCTCACTCAGGACGATGAGCTCGGCCTCGGGCCCAACTCGCTTTACTACGATCTAACCGGAGGCATTCAGGTACCGGATTCCGACTATTCGTTGAACGATTGCGTAATTAGTATGTCGTCGTATCGATGTTTAGTTTAGATTTTATCTACTCCGACTATTAGCGTTAGTTTTATGTCGATGATTTTGTAGTTCTCTCCTAGAATGTGTTAGAACATGGAAACAGTAGCTTGAGTAGGTACCTGATTGTTTCGCTGTAGAAATATTGTATTAATCTTGTTATTGAATAATAAATCTAGTGAGTAATTTTAATTAGGCTCCTCTGCAAAAGGTAAGAAGTTTATTGACGCATTTTGGCTCTAGTTACTTTCATATCTTTTGCTGTGGAATGTTAAGTAATTCTTAATAATTTTTACATTATACTGTACTCTTAGTATCGACTGCAATGCGATCTTTTTATTTTGCAGCATGCCGTAATATAGACAACTTGGCGTGGTTGTTTGCTTTGCAATTATTGACGATGCATAATTGAAGTTTCGAATTGCCTGTCCCAAGTTTGCGAACATGTTTGGGTAATCTTTGATGCAAATGCAACGGGTTCAGAGATTTTCCAAAGCCGTCTGTTATTATTTAGCGTAATTTAGATAATTTATAACTTGTGTAATGTTAACGAAATGTTGGATTGGTCGTGTCGGACCAGGTTGTCGATATTGCACTATTTATTTTTATTTTATAATACATGACACCGTCGTCGCTTCTGTTTATTTCCTTGGACTTGTTATTTGGCTTGCCTACGGTTTTAAATCATATTTTAGGATGTTTCCTTTTTAAGATAATAGATAATATAGTGGATCTCATGATATTTTGATAATACAGGGGCATGTTAATAAGCCGAGCTAATAGACAGGGCGACGGTCCTGTCCCTTACGCACTCTGGCAACGACAATGGCGCCGTACTGCAATCATGTCGCAACGCGTTTCACTAGCCTGGTGATAAATAATAAGTTATTGTAAATAAACACTCTACGACATGATTATTGTGCGAGGTCTCGTTTTACTAGCTAACGAAATCATTGCTCCCGGGCAGTCTTCTATTTTGTTTAATGAGAAAAATCTTTGCTTTTATTTAGAGTTGTAAACGTTTTTACATTTTAATAATGATTGCATGTAATTGTTGTACTTACATAAAGACGTTTACGAATTTATTAATTTATCGACCTGTTGTCGATTCGTTGAATGAGTTAAATGGAAACTTCATCGCTTTATATAACGAATATAACTTCTTTATATGCTCAATTGCTAATTAGCCATCTTTATCGCAATGTTAAATTTGCAACTATTGAAATGAATGTTAAAACGAGACCTAAAGTTGAATACACCACGCTTTTGATATACCAACGATCAAGTTTCTTCCATATCTTGATATTGCGGATTATCTCATTCGACGTGACATGCTGTCCATGTAAAATATTAATATTACGTTGCAATTTATTTTTGCTATTAAAGATTTCAATAATTGCGTGTTTGCTTACCTTTCAAAATTAATACGACTAGTTGGCGCCCAAACGTAGTGTTACACGTTGGGCGCCAACATTCGGAAGCGTGGTGTGTTCACTCGCGTTGTGCAGCCGGAGTCGTCGTCCATTTCGCTGAGAGAGAGCGCACAGTTAACGGTCGGTCGCGGGTTGGTTGCGCAGGGGGCTGGGTCATGTGGGACGGGCGGGCGCTGGGCGCGGCGCGGGGCGGGGGCGCCGGCGCCCGCGGCTGGGGCCCGTGGTGGTGCTCGCCGCGCCGCGCGTGGCCGCACAACCAGCGCCATGCGTGGCAACCCGCGCGCCAAGCCAAGTTTACCAGGTGCGTATGATGCGCCCTCAGCGCCACCCCGCACCAGCATACTGTCCCGCGCCGGCGCCGGCGCCCGCGGCTGGGGCCCGTGGTGGTGCTCGCCGCGCCGCGCGTGGCCGCACAACCAGCGCCATGCGTGGCAACCCGCGCGCCAAGCCAAGTTTACCAGGTGCGTATGATGCGCCCTCAGCGCCACCCCGCACCAGCATACTGTCCCGCGCCGGCGCCGGCGCCCGCGGCTGGGGCCCGTGGTGGTGCTCGCCGCGCCGCGCGTGGCCGCACAACCAGCGCCATGCGTGGCAACCCGCGCGCCAAGCCAAGTTTACCAGGTGCGTATGATGCGCCCTCAGCGCCACCCCGCACCAGCATACTGTCCCGCGCCGGCGCCGGCGCCCGCGGCTGGGGCCCGTGGTGGTGCTCGCCGCGCCGCGCGTGGCCGCACAACCAGCGCCATGCGTGGCAACCCGCGCGCCAAGCCAAGTTTACCAGGTGCGTATGATGCGCCCTCAGCGCCACCCCGCACCAGCATACTGTCCCGCGCCGGCGCCGGCGCCCGCGGCTGGGGCCCGTGGTGGTGCTCGCCGCGCCGCGCGTGGCCGCACAACCAGCGCCATGCGTGGCAACCCGCGCGCCAAGCCAAGTTTACCAGGTGCGTATGATGCGCCCTCAGCGCCACCCCGCACCAGCATACTGTCCCGCGCCGGCGCCGGCGCCCGCGGCTGGGGCCCGTGGTGGTGCTCGCCGCGCCGCGCGTGGCCGCACAACCAGCGCCATGCGTGGCAACCCGCGCGCCAAGCCAAGTTTACCAGGTGCGTATGATGAATTTAACAGGAAACAGTTATATTGGCCTAGGTAACCAGGATGCGTATATGATATCTGCAACAGGAAAACTAATTTTGTCCGAGTTTAAAAAGTCATATATATAATATGATGGCTCCAACAAGACAAAACGGATATTATCCAAGTTTACCAGATACATGAGATCATTTGAACAGGAAACACGAATATTGTCCGAGTTTACCAGGTGCGTATATGATGGCTTCAACAAGAAAAACGAACTTTTGCCCAAGTTTACCAAATGAAAATGTTTTTTACCAGGTGCGTATATGAAGGCTGCAACAAGACAACACTTATATTGTCCAAGTTTTCCAAATGCATGTTAATTTTAACAGGAAACACGAACGTTGTCCGAGTTTACCAAATGCGTATATTGATGGCTTCAACAGGCTACGAATACTGTCCTAATTTACCAGGTCCGTAATCATATACGGACTCCGTATATGCTGGCTTCAACAGCGGGGACCGAATATTTTCACTGAACTGACGTTCGTGTCGCGTGAACGACATTACTGAAAAGAACTGCAGGAACCTAGAGTCCTAGATACGTAATACTAACGCATTATTATTATACACCTCATGTACTCTTAATTGTTAGTGTTTTAATGGGGGTATTCTGTCCAGATATCAAATTAAATACAGTTAAAGCTGAATTATCCATTTTTTTGCATTCCTTAGCAGTCCTACCATCACTAAGTTTTCTTTACAGATATTGTTTAAAGTACTGTTTGATATTAAAAGTACTATCAGTTGTAGTCAGAAGCATGATAGAAAACCAAACTCTGATAATAATTGGTGTGCTGTTGATCTGCAGCCAGTGCCGTCTTTGACCTATTGGAGGCCCTGGGCATATTAGGATAATGGGGTCCCTATGACCCTCGTTTGGTGATCTAACAGGAACTAGGGACTTTGTATTTGTGATCTGAGGTGGGCCCCTATCGATCGAGGGGCCCTGGGCACTTGCCTAAAGTGCCCACTGGGAAAGACTGGTCTGTCTGCAGCGTAATACTTGACCGCTTACAATCCGTTAAAACTCGCTGTTACGAAGTGCTCGTAAGCTCTAATCCCCTGATTAATAAACGAAGAATAATCTTGAATTAGATACTCCTAGTTTTTTTGCCTTTGTTTATTGAATTACAAATGACGTTTGAGTGATGTGAACAAAACACGTCGTAGATTATTCCTCGCTTATTAATAAGGGTGTACGAGAATCTAATGGCTGTAAGCTCAGATGAACAACCAATGTTTTTTTGATATTTAAAAACATTAACTAAGTTGCGAAATTACCTAACGAAATTCAAAATTTAACACTTGATAACATTGGACTCTTTCTCGCTCGAATTTTAACTATTCCAATTCAATTGTTATTTGTTCGTTTCAGCATGTTTGATGGTTTGCGTGTAATCTGGATTAATAACACTATATCGGTAACTACCTTTCCCTACCTCCTCATCCTTGGGGCTTCCACAAACTTTGTAACGTTGAGAGCTCGATCGAGCGAGAGTCCTTTGTATAGGATGTTAAAAGTTTGTGGTAGACCCTTTTCCTTAGATCCATCCATCACGTCATTCCGAGCATTGCGCTTTTCAGCTGGCAATATATTTACGGTTTCCTGATCCGGTTTCCTGATCAGGAATTCAGATTTGAAATTCCCTGAACGTAGCGCGAACGTTTCGATTTATAACGACACGAACGTGCGGCTAGTTTCCGAAACGCAAGTAATTTTTTCCCATTCTGAATTTTTTTAAATTGTGTGTAAGCCTTGTCGAACATTTTGTTTGTAAGGAACTGCATTCTGATGATTCTGGTCTCGAAAACGGAATTTCTGATTCGGTAACCAAATCAGGAAACCTTATATATGCACCCAGCCTTAAAGTTGGGAGACTAGCATCATATATATATATTATCTAAAAGTATTTTTTTAATTATTTAGATTCCTACATTTAGTCGATTGCTCATGATGACAAAATGGGACCGATTCTGGCGCCTTTTGACGTTGCAATTTTGGCAGATGTGCAATTTTTGTGATTTAACTTTGTACATAAATGTACCTCGAAAATAATAGGTTAACGACTTTACGAAATAACGCTTTCCTAAAGGCCAAAAACCGAAAACTCTTAAATCTTCTGATAAAACTGATATGTGTATCTTATTTTATTACACCGACAAGTTCTGTCATTCGAAATTTTTGGTATTGTCGATAATATTGCTTTGAATTAAGTAATAGTAGATAAGTTTTATATAAGAATTGTAAATCAGTTCTTAACTAAAAAAAACAAGTTGTTTTATTTAATGAGTGGTGTGTGTGAAAACATAAGAAATAAATAGTCCTAAACTAAATTAAATAAACATGGAGTACCTCATAATATTTTCGATTTCTGATGGAAAATATTGTCATTTATATTTAGTTAATACGTCAGAATCGGTGCTGCTGTATTAGTAGTAGATCCACCTTTCCATTCCTGAAATCTACTACATACTTCAAAATTTAGGGTATTGGATTGGCTGCCACTAGTTACGTCAGCGAGACAAACTTACCTTTATCCCTTTTCATTAATAATTCAGTAGGTTTTACTCCTATTCTAAATAAAAGAGATAACACCAAGTTTAAGTTTCAAGAGGGGTAGGGCATAGCGGATATATCGCTCGGATTTTAACACCCGTCTGGGGAAGTAACCTCCACCTTCATCATCATCATCAGCCTATTATTGTCCCCACTGCTGGGGCACAGGCCTTCCCTATGGATGGAAGAGGGAGATTGGGCCATGACCCACCACGCGGGCCTAGTGCGAATTGGTGGGTGCTAACGACTGCAGATGCAGCCGGGACCAACGGCTTACCGTGCCTTCCGAAGCACGGAGGGGCTCGAGATAGTAAATTTTTGGTCACCCATCCAATGACCGAACACTGCGAAAGTTGCTTAACTTCAACGATCGCAGCCGAACGCGCTAACCACTTGCGCCATCGAGCTCCTCGCCTCACCTCCACCTTACACAGTATAATAATGCTTACTTGTGGTGGTGTCGTGTTTCTGTCGGTGAATAAGTCCTGGAGACTTTATGGGGTAGGTTATTGGGTTGGGTTAGCCAACGGTGCGAGTGATAATTTGTCTTACAAGCGTCTATAGCTTGCCCGTTTGCCATCAGGCGGGTCATATGCTTTTTAACTTTTTGCGGCTGGTGGTACCTAGTGAGCAGCCATGCTATTGTCCAATATCACCATGATGAGTTCGACGTCAATTTTGTTTCTTTCATTTGTTTTTGAATTACCCCCGAAGACGAGCACGCGTTGTGAAAATGTACTGTGTATTTTGGCGATGCCATACCGTTGTTTCGTAAGATTTGACTTTATGGCGTTTCAGTAATCGTCGATCGATTATCATCATCGGTTCAAACTTTATGGCGGTTGAGAGCGTGACCTTGGGCAGGTTTTAGTACAATGCCATTCCGCGCGCATCTACGATTTCGTTTACTGCGTCGTGACTTGCGTTCACTTCAGTCGCCATGGAGTTTGAGCCGTCGTCCTTCTGGCGACGAACCAACGATCACCCGATGCGGTCTCGCCGCGCGATGGTTTTCAAAGAGACAGATTTCTTCAGAGGTGTCCTAGTAATACAGTTCGTAAGCCGTCGCACGAGCGGTACATAGTTTTCATCGCCCGAAGAGATCACATCGGGCGCTCGCGTCGGTCTCGCACTCGTCTAGCGGTGGTCAGGGTCTGAGACATGCGTCGGGTGTTGCAGGTAAACGTAAACACGACGGGGGTCACCAGAACCTCGGGGGGGAGACGAAGCGGCGGCTGGGCGCGGCGGCGGCGGCGGCGTGCGGCTGGGGCGCGCCGCCCAGCTAGCCGCCCGCGGCCCCGCCCCCGCCCCGGGCCCCGCCCCCGCCCCGGGCCCCGCCCCGCCCCGGGCCCCCCCGTCCCGCCCGACACCCCCCCGGGCCCGCGGCGCCCGCCCCCTGTCCGGAGACACGACAAGCACGCAGGAGGCCCCGCGCGCGCCGCGGCCCACGGTTACGTTTACGCCCGCCGACCCCCGCCCGCTGAAGAGGGGGTCGCGCCATTTTTTTTCTATATATGTGTTTTTTTATTTGATTTTCAAGTTTTCGATTTTGTATCGCATCGATTCCGTAAAAATCTTAAAGTAGGAAGTTATGAAATGTTTCGAATGTAAGTTTTTTCCGTTATGCTTATGTTTTTCACTGTCGTATTAGCCGTATGTATTGTTTAATATATACCTTTATATTATGTGGAGGGCGCGAGGCCGCGGTTGCCTGTTTGCGGCCGCGCGCTCGGGTCGAGGACCCGTCGACTGTTTTTTTAATACATGTTATTCAATATATTTTATTCCTGCGAACGCATTTTGCGATGTGATGTGTATTTTAGCAGTAATTATTATATTATAAGGAGTTTGACTGTTGTTTTTTGACATACTTACAACTTAGGTTACATGAGATGAGGATGAATTAATGATGGAATGAGATGAACTAGGACGACTCGATTACGGCTAAAATAGAACTCCCCGTGACTGTATCTGTATCGATAACATTTCCCGACTGTGTTCCTGCTTTAGTTTTTTGCTTTATCTTTATTACATATTTCCCTTTTAAATACATTAGTGTGAGGAAAGTAGTATTGTAAAGTTCAGGATTTCTGTAATGTTTATTATTGCTCTACTAAACTTTTTTTTGTATAACGCCCACATAGCATGCCCATACTGTTAGAACTCTGACTTGTATCAATCTTGTATCAGTTTAATAATATGTGGAATAAATTTGCAAAACTGTGTTTGCCTTATTATCAAGTGGTTTCTTTTCTTAATCTAATCACCCTTTAAAAAATATCAGGTTCACTTGCACATTCTCAAGGGGAACCCCCCAAATTATCTTAATTCTTATTGTAAGTTTAAAGCTTTTCTGCTCTGAAAATAATAATCTTATTTATTACTCTCAAGAAGGGTTACAAATTACATGATAAAGTAAAAAGTATTACTAGCAGTATTTTATAGTAGCAGTGTTCTTAGCATGAACCATTATCGAATTCAATACGAGTCAAGTTGTCTATGGAAATTTGATAACGCCACAACGGACGGAACCCGCCAGCAATGTTACTACTTAATGGTACAGATGTCCCGGCTCGGAACGGAACGAGAATAACAAATAGTGCATACAAAGCCAATTTGACGAGTATCAAGGTCGAATTAAATTAAATTTCAATTACGCTTCTTCCTCGTGGACAAACTGTGTAATGATGAAGCTAGTTAGCTTGTCCTTTAAGAATAATTTCTCCAGATGGTCAAATCGTCCACGTGATCGAACTGTGCAATCAAAGAAGTTGTCCAACAGGAATAATTTTTCCAGGTGGGCAAATCGTCCAAATGTTCAAACTGGGCATACAAGCTTATTTGTCGAACCTTTTCTCTAATATCAATATCATGAAATACTACTATAAGTTTATGGAAAAGAGCGAAGACAATGAAGATCAAGTTTAAAATTGAAAGTGGGATCGTGGGGCCTATGTTCAGCTCTCCCTTAAACCTATTACCTGCAGATATATTTGACGCCGGCTGGGAGTACATTAAATCGAAGAGCTCCATAGACAGTCAGAAAAAGATCAGTTTCATAAATATTTTGAAAATACATGAATGAAAGACATCGTCCAAGAAGCGATTTGATTTAGTGTACTGCCAGCCGGTGTCGATCATATCTGCTGGTAATAAAGGGAGAGCTGAATATATTTCCACGATCCTACTTGCAATTCACGATTTTGATGTTAGAGAAAACTAGCAAACCAGTGAACCAACTCAAATCCGGTTTGTAGTCTTATCAGACTATTCTTAACTTATAACTTAAACATTCTCTTTATCTATCTCTTACGGTTTGGCCGCTGAAACAGCACCACGGACGGACGGACTTGTCTATTAGATAAGAGACTAGCAAACCAGTGAACCAAATGTTCACCAAAAAAAAATGTAATTCATTAATTGAGAACTTCGGAGATTTTGTGTGGTTTCGTTTAAAATAGAAATCACGTGATTTCTCGAAAACCGAAAGTGCTACGTTACTCACATCCGGTTTGTAGTCTTATCAGACTATTCTTAACTTATAACTTAAACATTCTCTATATCTACCTCTTACGGTTTGGCCGCTGAAACAGCACCACGGACGGACGGACGGACTTGTCTAATAGATAAGAGATGTTGAAAATTTTTGTTTCAATACCTAGTTTGACCCCGTAGACGATTTGAGCATCTGCAAAAATTATTCCCTTTGGACAAATTAGTTTGACTACGAGGAAGAAGCGTCGAAATCGATAATTAGTTCGTGCTCAAACCGGGTTCACACGGGGCGATTTAAATTGATCCACTTTTATCAGCAGTTTCCTAGTGATCGTCCTAATTTGTCCTATTAATGGGACACGTGAAAACCCTTTTTCTTAGTCCTACTAGTATGATATGATATTGATATTATATTGAGGGGCCGCGGTAGCATAATGGTCAGTGCATTCGCCCGGATAGCGAAAGGATGTGGGTTCGAGTCCCGTCTGCTACCTGGTCCGCGCGCATTAACATTTTCTTTAGATTTAAACATTTATGTTCCCGAATGTCAAGTTTGGAAGTATATGTGTAAAAAATTAAATACTACAGATTTTTTTTACTAGAAAAGGAGATTGCTCAAATTGGCCCAAACGCACAAAAAATATTGACATACACGGTAATTCTTGGCGTAATTTATAATTTAATTTACAGTCATTAGATTTCAACGGACACCTTTGTTTATAATATTTACTTTAAAAAGGACTTAATTTTACCGGTTTGGAAAACATAGGAATCATTTTTAATACCTATGGGTGTAGTAACATTCAGCCAAAGACTGATCGAAGTTGTTTATATAACATAAAAACAAATCTATTTTGTAAAGATCGATGAAATAATTTTTTTTTATTGCACTATGGTATCCACAACTATATTATAATTTTTACTACATGCAAATGTGCTCAGACAATTATTATAGATAGTAGGCGACATCATAAAGTCTATTGCCATACATTTTTCGCCAAACACCTCCATAAACACATTATAATCTGTATATATGTTAGACTTTAAGGTATCTATCTATCGGCCTACGTTGCCTGACTATAAATTTATAAATAAATAAAATTATAATGTGTGATACACTAAAAATTTGAAATATGGTTATATTAAAAACATAAAAATAATGAAGCTACTGAATATATGGCTATATAACCTAAATCTCTTAGCTTTCTTTGGTTAACGAGAGTTTAAAAATTCTCTCTAATCTGTGGCTCATTCACAATCATCACACAGTTTCTGTCACAGAGTACCGGAAATGCATAGATGACACCTGATTTTATAAGTTACTCTTATGCATTAACTTTAAAAACAGGCAACTATCTGTTAATCTACATGCTCTATATACCTGAATCTAATCCATAATTTCGGTACTTGGCTTGATTTCTCTTATAGTTTACTATATAACTTATTTGTTTTTTATAATTTTAATATGTTCAGTGTATATGGTTTATAGAAGTTCTCAAGGGTGTCCGTCAATAATTTTCGTTTCTACAGTAATTTATATATAATTTCGAATCTAGGAAACAATTTTTCATGATTATTGGTCTTTAGGCCAAATATGTATGGAAGCTGAGCGATCTCCTTTCAACACGACTGGTTTCAGGCAGGACTCGAACTTGCGTCTTCCGCTGTCCAGACGGATATACTAACAGTAACTTAGCGGTTAGTGCACCCGGTAAGGACTCGGTAAGGTTTCAGGCAGGATTCGAACCTGCGCCCTCCGTACACTAACGGTAACAGTGGTATATCGGATAGTGCATCCGCCCGGACAGCGGATAATAATCTAGGAAAATCTGATGTAATTATACCGTAGTAGAACTACGAGGAACAAAGCATATGTTCTTTAATTTAATTCCGCAGAAGGACCACGAGGAGCTCGATGGCGCAGGTGGTTAACGCGTTCGGCTACGATCGTTAAAGTTTAGTAACTTTCGCAGTGGTCAGTCATTGGATGGGTGACCAAAAATCTTCTATCTTCTTCTCCTTAGGTGAGGTACTCCGTGCTTCGGAAGGCACGTTAAGCCGTTGGCTGCATCTGCAGTCGTTAGCGCCCGCCAATCCGCACTGGGCCCGCGTGGTGGGTCACGACCCAATCCCCCTAGTCCATCCATAGGGAAGGCATGTGCCCCAGCAGTGGAGACATTAATAGGCTGATGATGAGGACCACGAGTTATTGTTAATTGCTTTTCTTCAATTTGATTGAAAGTCTGTTCAGACAGTTGAAATCAGTTGATTAACTGAAATCGCCTCGTGTGAATCCGGTATAATGGTACTGTTCAATGAACTTTCAACTATCGTAGAATTCACACTTCCAGGAATAATCTTCAATGAACACACTTCCCACAATACCAGCGAATAAAGTAGTCAAAGAAGAAGGTGAAAATTTGCAAAAAGCTACCCCAGAAAAGAGGCTTATGGTGTAGATGCCTTCGATACTTCAATAGATTAGTATAAAAAATATTGTTTTTCCCGATTAGAGGAAACATACATACTTCACTATCGGTTCCAGTGGCCATCTGTGCTCTTCATCATCAGCTTCACTTCACCAGATGGCGCAATCCGAGAGAAAATAAATAGATAGGCAGGTCTCTATAAAACTATGGTATCTAAATTACTATAGATGTTCCTATATTTTTATGAAATAATTTCTCCTGGAACCCATAATCAGATCCTGACCTGATGACTATGGGATCACCTGAGAAGTATGCTCGAATCGGTTCAGGCATCTTCGAGTTCGTTGAAATAAGAACCTTCAGAACTTCCTTTTTTTTTAAAGTCGGTAAAAGTATTGAGCAGGGACTAAATTAAAAGAACATCATGAGTCTTGTAAAACTTATTTTTTTTTAAAACTAAGGTACGAATAGGAATCTATATTTGTTGGCGAGCTCTTCGACTTAAAATTGTAATGAAGAGAAGAAATCTGAATTGTTATTTTTTGTGGACCGATTCTGACGATTATAATGCGAATCAACTAAGAGTAGGACCGACTGGGCGTCATATTTTGACGTCATAGCTGTCAATTCAAACCAAATAGGTAGAGTGCGCAAAAAAATGTTGCTATTTAATAAAACTAAGTGAATAAATAAGATTAAGTGAGATAAAAGTCAGATTCTGATTTTTTAATAAAATTAATTTACTAAGATTGAGAAAGAACACAACCGGTTTTTAATAGTATTTCTTTATTAAGACTGTTAAAAAACACATTAATCAGAATCTAGCTCTTCAATTTCGTTCATCTCTGCATTACCGCCGGAGAAGTTATGAATAATTATGCAGGTCACATACGAACTTGCATCCTATATGTAAACGAAAGTTTTAAATCGAGTTTTGAACGTAACATAAAGTGACATTTGGTTGACGACTTAGGTTATCAACCATTCAAAGCCAAAGCTTAATAAATGAAAAAAAAAACAAGTAATATTAATTATCAACATTTTTTATTGTTTGTTTAAAAATGTTTGGTTTTTATTCTAGAATCAGCTGAGTGCTAAAAAAGTGTTCCGAGATTTTTTTGCAAACCGTACTTTTCAAGCGACATTTGACAGATGGAGGTCATTGGCTTTCCTATTCTTATTTGCATTGGCATTATATTTTTGTCTGACTTTGAATCAGTTTTTGATGAGATGATTCCCACTTGGTATAAAACTGATCAACCGTTAACAATACTGTTTTTGATGAATTAGGTATCGGTGCTGATTCTGTCACGATTCTCTTGTCATGGAGCTGGATTTGGCAGTGGTAGGTATATCTTTTTTTCACTCACATATTGTTAGGTTTGAGGAGTCGTGCCGGAATCAGGTCAAAATCTTTACCTTGCCAGCTTTAATCACCTATTCAGGTGAACCCTTGTTTATTTAGGTACCTACACCAACAGAAATAATTGTGTTTTAACTTAGAGGTTGCTTTCCTAAATAGATTGCTTAAATTCGAGCGTAATACTCACCTTTTTGTAGGTTCATGTAAAATTGGTAAAGCAGTTCAATTCGCTTTACCAATTTTATAGAACCTTAGAAGTTTTCGGATCAAAAAGATAAGTACCTAGGTACTGTAATTTCGTAAATGCAGCCCCAAAATTTGCAAATATGTCCTTGAGCTCTATCTTGGCCCACCTAGCATTTTAAATTTTGACCTATATAGTTTTGACGGTCTCTAGCTAAAAATAAATGTATCATTGAGCAGAAAGTTTTTACGCAGTTTTGAAGCTGATTTACTAACCATCATTTTCGTATGTTTTTTTGAAGTTATACTTCTTTAGGCGCGTTATGAAAAAATGTTGAGAGTGAAATTTTAAGATGCGCGCGCATCACTGTAACACAAAAATTAACTTACTTTTGTGTTTACCGCACATTAAGAAAATCTACCAACAAAATAGAAATAGAATCTCTATTTAGTGGGTACTAACGACTGCATTGTGAAGGCCTATCAAAAGTATTTATTAATCTGGAACAACGGAACCAAAGCGCGATTCAGGAGACTACAGCGCCATCTCTTGACCATTGGTGTAGTAGAACTAAAAACCACATCTTTATTTTTTGTAATAAAGTAACAGTTATAGATATTTATAATATTTATCCACATGTTTCTAGTTTGTATATTCGGAATACGTGTTTGAGTTTCATACAAGTGCAAATCTCATAAATGTTCTAATAAATTATATTCAGTAGCGATTTTAATTGAATATTTTGATTATTTATTTATTTTTTCAAATTAAAACTGAACTTTATTGACTGTGTCTTTTTCCAGACTTTTTATTAATTTATTGTAATTAATTATTTGCATGCAATTAAACACTAATTTTAAACGATGCCAAAGAAGGATAACTTCTCACGCGCCTACATAAGTACACGCACCCATTTTTTTAATTTAAAATTATTCCCACTCTAACTTAATTATATAACAACGCTACGGCGCTTTGCAGACGACGGGGCGGGGCGGGCCGGTCAATTTTGCTGCGAATAATAGCACAAAGTGAATCCTATACCTCAAACGCACACAGCGGTCAAAAAGACCGCGCCTTGGGTGCCCGGCGGGAACTGGCGGCGCGGCATGTCCGCGGCTGCCCGCCGTGGATCATACAAACCAGTTTATATGCAGTAACGCAGACGGCGGCGCGGGGCGGTCATGGACTATTCACTAGAACGAACGTCCTAAACTGACCGCCACTGCCCGTCGTGTGCTTTGTGTACGCGGCGCGGGCAGCCGCAGACATCGACGGACAGACGCGGTCTTTATTGCTTCGCGGACAAAATGCCCGCCCCGCCCCCTCGTCTGCTCAACGCCTTAGTGGGCCAATCGACGCGTCCGGAAGCGTATTACACTTCGACTGTGGATATGGATCGAAATGAAAAGCCATCGTTATAGTTTAAAGTGTTGTATTCGATAAGTGCGAGTCGCGGCGCGTCGCCGCCGCGCGTCGTCATACGGTGTCGTGGAGGGTCGGCGTGGAGCCGGCGGGCGCGGGCGCGGGTGCGAGCGCGGGGGCGGCGAGCCGGGCGGCGCAGGCGCGCGGGGGCGGGCGGGGCGGCGGGGGCGGGCGCAGGGGGCGGGGGCGGGGGCGGCGCCGGCGCCGGCACCACGCGCCCGCCCCCACCGCCGCCGCCGCGCCGCCCGCCGCCGCCCACACCCACGCGCGACCGCCGCCGCCGCCCGCCGCCGCGCCTCCGCCGGCCTCTCCGCCTGCGCCATGCACACCCACACTCAACGGCGGATCCAGCTTTGGCGCCGGGGGGGTCATATAGTCGTGGTCGAGTCACCGGATACACATTGTGAAGTGGGTGCGGATGGATCCGCCCTTGCCCACACTACACCTCGACACCTCGACCCCTGCCCGTTGCGTAGCCTAGCCTTAACCTCTGTTGCGTGCACCGCTCGTAGACAAAACCACATCTACCCTAGCCGCTCGGAACTTTCTTTAAGGAGATCTAAAAAGAGCTGTCAAATGAGCGCATAGACGGAGAACTATGGAATAAAATTACCGTTTTGCCATAAAAAGATAACCGATTTCGTCAGGTGGAATAAGCGCTTAAGCTACACCTCGGATGTTAGTCCGATCTCGATTATCGCCTCGCACTTCCAGGTGCTACTGGAGCACTTTGGCAGATACTTATAATTTTTGGATCATGGTAGGTACATGGTAGCACGGCACCTGGAGCTATACTCTGTATTTTAGGATCTTTGCGTCGGTTGCTCATCTACCACCACTCTTCTGTTCACTGTGGACTGTTATTATAAACTCTTAGCACCACGCAGAAGCAGTTATTGAAGCGAGATCCCGCTCTACAGTTATTGTAATATCTGGCTTTAACAACGGAACTTGTTTTTTATTAAGAGTTTATAATATGGCTTCTGGTCGCAATACAACATACGTACATTTCCAATTAATTATAGTCACGGTAAATACTATCCGATTACCCAGAGCTGTTGCATTTAACAAAAATAATTTATTGTTCTTCAATGCTAACAAATACAGTTCCAGACACATCTATCGGTCAACTTAGCGTTATAAGTTTTGACGGTCTGTAGCAAAAAAATAATGAAGTAAGGTTGGGAATAATGATATAATTAAAAATACGCGATAATTATGGTTAATAAATCAGCTTCATAACTGCGTAGAGACTATCTGCTCAATGAAACATTAATTTTTAGCTAGGAACCGTTAAAACCATATAGGTCGAAACTTAAAATGCTAGGTGGGCCGACAGATGTGTCCGGTAGTATATTTACGTCTTTTTCGATAATAATCCCCAAAAATTTTAGAATACACACATTCGATTTTTTTCGTTCTTTTTTCCAGTGAAACCACCATTATCATGGCTCGATCATGTCACACAAAAATGATGTAATCAATGTGTGTGGTCTATCCATCGGTTGATTTAACGTATTCTTACGTCAATCGGTACCTGCGCCGATTTTTACAAAATGTATTTATGGCCAAGCTCTCTTAGGCACCTCCACATAGTGCGCCGCACTATGTGCCTTGACCATCGCTACTTCAGCTTGGTGTGTGGCGACCCCTTCAGCTAAGTCGGATAATATAGTTTTACTAAGTACCTACTGGAAATAAACTTTTTGAGGATTGGTTGATGAACTATCTGTAAAACTACAATCACACGAAAGTTTGTGAGTGTGTATGTTTGTTACTTCTTCAAGTCTAAACGGCTGGAGCGATTTTAATAAAATTTGGTATGGAGTTAGCTGACACCCTGGATTAACACATAGCCATATATATATCCCTAATAAGCCGCGGGTAACACCGCGGGGCACAGCTAGTTATTTATAAAAACGAAATAAACTTATTACGTTATATAGGTACGTATGTCGTATTTTGACAGTTAATTACAAATTACCATATTTTACTCGCTCCTTCTCTTTACAGTATGATTAAGAGTCAGTACCGAGACAATGGATACATTTTTATGCATTTGTGACATCGCTTTTACTGTCACCAAAATTAAAGGCGATGCCAGTGTCAACTATTATATTCACCGACAAGATCCGGCTGACTGTACTTATTGTATGTAATTATATATTGGTACTTTATACGTTTTAAGCTGACTGGTCTTGAGAAGTGGTACGCTTTCCATCTAAACTGGATTTGATAGATATTTACCAGAAGCGGCCTAGAAACTCAAAATTTAAAAATTGTTCTTTGTTATTGTAACTATTTTAATTACCTTTTGTCAGAATGCATATAAGTAAGTATCGAATTATTAATTAATAGTGATTTAAATAACTATTATGTAGAAAATAAAAGCAATGTTACGACTGTTACTGCTTTTATGCATCATGAACAGGTATTTGCGGATTGCTTCTTCAGTTTTTGTTTACTTATAAAACCTCTAGTTTAATGGGGTTTTAGATTTGTTAACTTTTACAACATGCGACACATATTTTATTGAATTAATTTAAAGGATGTATGCGATGAATGAAGCTGTGTTGAAGCGTTTGATGCGTAGTAATAAGTCTTGAATTCTGAACTGGGAGGTAAATTACATAGGTGGTTATTACTAACCACAATAAAATGTTAAAAAGCATTTGCCAAATTGGACTCGAATATTAATTTGGTCCGTCGAGCCGGATACAACTTCCATTTTGCTTAAAGATCAAAAAACATTTCCATCAAGCGTGCCAAATAGATCAAAGCTGTAGTTTAAGTGGCAGATTAGAAAACGAAATAAAAATAACGTAGCGTACATACATAAACATGAAAACGCAAATTAAAAGGTACCGAGTAGAAATCGTCTCCGAGTCTGGTGTTTCCACATTACTATGGTATCTCGCGCTGATGAATGAATCGATGATGATTTTTTGATTATAATGTAGCAAGATTCAAATTATAATAAAAAACAATGTAATCAAATCACTGATTTACACCGAAGGAGGTGATTGCGAAATTAGCTATAATTTTTTTAGCAAAGAACTAGCTCTAAGGTCATCAGCGCAAGCTAGACAGAGCTGGAGATGATGGTAAGCGAGAGAAGAAGAGCGTGCGTGCGGGTAGCGGGTGGCGCAGGTGCGGTGTATATATAGACTCACGTGTGCAGCGCCCGGTCAGTGCGGGGCGGCCAGCACAAGCGAGAGCACCACGAGCGCGCCGCGCGCCGACACGCGCCGCGCCGCGCCGCCTGCGCACACCGCCGCGTCAGCCGGCCCTACGCCGAGCCAACCCGCGATACTTTCTGATCGACGTGCTATGCCACCACCGCCACCCGGAGCTGTGCCTCTCGTTCGCGACGATTTAGTTAATTTAAACGGAACACTGAAAGTTGGTCCGTCTATCCGGATGTGTTTGTATTTAGCAATCTGAAGCGCGCCCTTCCGGTGGTGGTGATGGTTAGATTTTAATTTATTTTATTTGTATTTAGTCAACTAAAACATGCCAGGGAGTTTATCTGAAGACACCTCTCTAGCGAGAGATCTCTTTCGTTCTCGTTTTAATGGATGAATCAGAAAGTATTATGACCGATGAACATCGATGTGAGGCTGACGGTTGACTCGGTACCCCGGGCCCCATAGTGCGATGACTCAATGCAAGCTTCGTCGTTTGCGTATCAAAAATCTAATGAGAGTACTATGTTTCGCAAATTCACAGACACCGAAAATACTACGAGGTGGTAAAAGCAAAAATTTGAATCGATACGAATGTTGTCGATTTAAAACTCTCCTGAGTCATCACAGTATTGTAGAAACGCTAAGATATAAAAGTGAATACTGTAGAAAGTTGAGCGTAGTTCATGAATGTAAGATTGGCAATAAATGAGAACATTTAGAATAATTAGAAAATAAAAATGTGTCTTGAAGAGGACGCTTTGTAAATAAAAATATCGGTCATCTTTGCAACATAGTCGATATATTCTGCTAATTCACCAACAATAAATATTGAACCCTTATACAAACTATCACCTAACATTACACATAGCTACCTACGTTCTTGAGACAAAGATTGCATTGAACCATCAATAGTAAATTGAAAGTATAGTGAACATAACATTATAATTGATTTTAAAGATCGTTAGTTAACAGAGCTACAGTGTTTAAAGTACAATATTTTACAACAATATAGAAGAAAAATGCAAGAGTAAGCAGCAAATGTGTCCGTGCCCAGCGCCAAGCATCAAACTGTACTCGTATGTCCCGTGAAGTGTACGACTGTACGTAGCCAACAACTCAACCATGTACTGCTTACTCCATAATAATTACGTCATCAACAAGCTACATCATTATAAGTAGGTATTTCAAATTTATGATAGTTAAATATATCGTATTAATATACCTATGATGCGACGATAATGCAAGGTGTAGATACAATTATGTGAAATGCAATGTGCAGTGCCAATTGTATTATTATACAGTGAAATTGTCAGAGGCAAAGAAATTTTGAATAAAATAGTGTTTTCAGAATTTGGTCTGTCGTATAGAACATCCTACACAGATTCTGTAAATAAACATTCAACAGAATATGATAAAGTATCGATATGTATAACAAGTAATGCACTAGGTTCAATATCTGTATTAAATTCTAATGAAGTTAATAGTTCATTTTATCGTCAGAATTTAAACTTTGCTAAAGATACTACTTATATTATGAAGAAGAAAATAGAATGAATATATTGATAAGGATAAAAGTATATTATTAAGTTCGATTAAGTTATGATTATGTCAAGAGTAGAAGACACCCAGTAAAGATAGAATATACGATGAATACACCCAGATTTTATGTAAACAATCTAGCAAGAGTGAAAACATTCGTAGTTGTATATCAAAAACACAATCCACAAAATTAAATTATTTTTTCAAACCCTGTCTTTTTCCAAAATGAAAGGAGGAAGAAATCAATTAGCTTATGTCTATTTTTGTACTGGCGTCACGCCTCTGCATTGGCGTGATGAAACTCGTCCTATAAAATCTCAATAATACAGATTTATTATGATTCAAACGTATATGACGGTAATATACCACTCACAACCCCACGTTGGGCGCCAACAATTCAAAATCTTTATATAAAATTTTAGTTATTCAAAATATGAGAGGATTGTTTAGTTTTAAGTAAAATGTCTTAATCCTCGTATTTCAACTGATTACTTGTCTTCGGATTATGTCTTGGTATATGAGTGGGTGTGATCTCTAAACTTTTAATCTAGACATCTAGATTCGAAAGCAAAATAATGCAAACTTTCGAAACCTACGCCCGGTTGGTCGGGTCATGGTGGGTTAGTTTTTTTTTATATTTAGGTCCGACAAATGACTCCATCCCACCTGATGTTAAGTGATGGTGGAGTCTAGACGCGAAGATAGCTGGTACAGCATTTTTACCTACCACTCCAGCTATCCTCACCTTGTCGACCTACGAGATTCTGTTTCAGCGATGGCGCCTTCATGTCTGGAGTAGATATATAATGAACCGGTGCGGATAAGCGTGCATACCACAGACCTAGATTCATCGCTCGATTACCTTTGGTCGATAGCCCGAATACGATTGCCAATGGAATTCGGGTAAACGAATAAGTGTAAATGAACGGAGTCAAGTACGCCCGTATTTAGGTAGTTTTCGTTTTGGTTAAACGACACTGTCTTCCACCTCGTATTCCAGTGTAAATATTGCTTCGTGCACCCGAATAACTGACTGCTGACTAACGACCAAATGTAATTGAGCCATTAAGTAGACAACGCATGTGCGTCAAATTGTATGAAAACCGAGCGTGTCATATTTTGATGGCAATTTAAGTGGTGCAAAAGCATGGGCACCGTTTCAATTCAATAGTTTTAACAGCTTATAATGGCACAATGGTGTCGTATCTGGCATGATTCCCTAAACCTGAAATTAAATTAGACAACAGTGTATCTTTGTCATTTTTAGATACAAAACGAAAAGAAGAGACTGATATAAAATTTAATTTTAAGTTAGAATCGACACCATTTAGACAAACAAAAAATCGCGGCCGCCATTCACATCGAGAACAGTGATGAAAATAAATAAAACAGTGGAAAAGGAAAATGTTCGGTGTTCCTTTTGTCATGTTTTAGGCACGCTCGGTCGGTCGGATGCACTCGCGTCATCTATTTGTATATGTCTGCGGTGCATACTAACAGTGGTCGGGGCGGCGCGGCGGCATGGCGGCGCAGTGCTGCAGCGCGGAGCAGGCGGCGGCGGGCGGCAGGCACGCGCCTGCGCAGTCCGCGCCCGCACCGGCGCCGGAGGTACCCGCGTCCGCGCATGACCCGCCCGCCTCGGGCACCGTCACCTCCGTCCAGATGGCGCGCCAGCCCGCCGCGCCCACTGACTTGTCCGCTATTATGAACCTGCGGTGCACCACCCCTCATCAAAATCATAATTTATTTTAGGTTTTTACAAGCTTTTATTTAACTTGCTATGTATGTTTGTTACGGTCAAATCTTACAACTCAATTTTAAAGCACTTGCCCTCGACCGATTAAGCTGAAATTTGGTATGCTCGTTCAGTTCGGATGACAATGCATGATTAACAGTGTGACGTCATTCCAAATCCAATATGGCGGCATACCCAAAATGGCGGACCGATCATTTTTAATGCATCCCTACAATATGGGTATCAAATGAAAGGGTTTGCTGAGAGTAACTCGAAAAAAATGTGACGTCACTCTCAATCCAATATGGCGGACTTCTAAAATTTCAAAATCTATTTAGAAACAAACTAACTAAATTTTCTTTTTTTCTTTTTAGCGCATTTGAATAAAAGCTTGTTTTTAAAAAGGTTTTTTTTAAATTTATTACAAGCACATTTGAAAGTCGTAACTCTACAACGGGAGATCTTGTACAAAAAAGACCTGACAAGAAAGTCAATAAGAAAGAAAGAAAGATAACTTCAAACTTGTAAATTCATGTGAACGTGTCGTCGAATGAATTTATGGGTTTGAAGGTGTCATTCCATGTAAACGTTACGACTTCAAACTACAATAGAGGCTTTAATTACACTTGCTTACTCGTAGGTTCAAAATGTTAAATTAATATATTCCAATTGAAACTGTATCCGAAAATATGGTGTAATCTTTACATGAGTCAAAGTCAATATCCATACTCGCATCATGTCATCCATTGGAACGTTAAAAGTTCCGATTGCAATCTAGGGTATGCCACCACGCATCATGTCATCCATGTAAATGTTACAACTTTAAGACTACAAAAGATACTTTTATTACACGAATATACTCTGTAACTCTTAGTGATTAGTTAATACCGGCATCTATTCTAATGAAACTGTATCCGAAAATGTGATCTAATCTTCACAAGTCTCTTAGTATTTTTTCCATGTGAATCTGATACTTATCAACATTTATATCCATTTCAATGAACAGTAAAGTGCGTTCTAAAGAACGATTTATAGTACATATTTGAAATATCCTGTACTCAAAAGCTTTCTTATCTGTACCTATAGTCAAATGTATGGGTCTTATGCTTTGACCATTCTTTGCCATGCAGCTAACTCAATACTTCGGAGTTCACTTGCAGCTGGGAAAAACTTTTTTTTTACGAGGCCATAAAGTACTAAGGTTACCCTCACAAATTCTGTATTCTACTTTGTGAAGCTTCGATACCAAAATTGGGGGCACGGATAGAACGGCTGCCCATATGAATTGATTAGTAGTGTAAATACTCACGAGAGGCGAATAGAGTTAGACGAGGACAGATACTGCCATCGGTCGGAGGGCGCCTTCTCTCCGCACAGCTCCAGAGGCGGACCCGGACTCTCGTACCATAGCCGTAGCACTGCTGCCGGGCAGCCACGCTCTGATATAATACCAAACTTTATGTACACTGGGGCGCTGGCAATTTCAAGCGATAGCACAGCTGAGAAGAGATCATCTGATCCAAAGATTTATTGTGCGCCTATAATATTTTAAGGTATTTATGTGTAACACAGCATTATGGGTCTATAGTGACACAGTAATTAAATAAATAATAAATAAATAAATATTTTCAACACTCACACCAATTCGCCTAGCCCTAAATTAAGCACTGTAAGGTATGTGTTATGGGATGCTAGGGTAACGGATAGAATACATATATTGTACATATATAAGTATATTTATATAGAAATACATATTAAACATCCATGACTGGAGTACAAATGCTTGTTTTCATCACACAAACATCTGCCCCCACTGGCATTCGAGCCCGGGACCTCTCGAGTCGGCGACACCATGAAACCCGGCGTACAAACTACTCGTCGTCAAAGCTCGAGAAGATGGCGTATACCGGTATACGCAGCGGTCTCGATATCCAATTACTTCAGTGACCTGTCACTCGATCTCACTGTCTCACCTTGTGTCCTTTCACAGCGGAAGTGCTCGAAGCTGAGTAACGGTCGCTTGCTGGGTCGCGCGGTGGCGAATCAGTTATAGACGCACGGGGTTCTAATATAGCGGTTACACGGTCAAAGTGGCTCACCAGTGAGGTGTCCTTCCACGGCGAAGTGTTCAAAGTTGAGTAGTAGCCGCTTGCCGGCGCGCGCGGTGACGAACCAGTTACAGACGCGCGAGGCGGCGCCGCGGGCGGGCGGCTCGTACGCGAGCGGGAAGCGTGGCGATGTGATGACGCCCCACTCCGCACCCGACATGTTGCCGCCGCAGTCGCCGAATATTGACTTAGCCGGCTGTGCATAAAGTTACAATAATTATAAAACGACTGATATAAGAGGTAGTGAGCCAAATACATCTCGAGTAGCGCACTTGGTCTTCAATAGTGGAAGTTGAGAATATTTTGCAATGATCAGTTATAAAAAGCAACATTGAATTTATTTTGTATGACTACCTAAAAATCATATGATATCAAATAGCTAAGTTAAGTCAAGCCGTTGATCCAGTCTGATCCCGACAACAAAACAAACTCGTGCAGTAGACTTTTTGCAATTAACATTGGTAATAAGCCGACTTCTGTGTGCTTTATAAGCTAATATGCATTTTTTTTGCCAGTGTGTTTACTAAGCTCATTGGTTTAAAATCATTTATTGCATAGAAAATGGAAGGCCGGCCCGGCGTGGCCAGCCCGCACCAGCGGCCCAGTATATAGGGCGCGCCAGTAGTTACCTCGAACACGTAGCGCGCCTTGAACCCGGAGGCGACGCTGTCGCGGTCGGTGTGCAGCGCCAGTAGCAGGCCGGCGGCGCCGCGCGGGGACTGCAGCGGGCCCGGCGTGGCCAGCCCGCACCAGCGGCCCAGTATATAGGGCGCGCCAGTAGTTACCTCGAACACGTAGCGCGCCTTGAACCCGGAGGCGACGCTGTCGCGGTCGGTGTGCAGCGCCAGTAGCAGGCCGGCGGCGCCGCGCGGGGACTGCAGCGGGCCCGGCGTGGCCAGCCCGCACCAGCGGCCCAGTATATAGGGCGCGCCAGTAGTTACCTCGAACACGTAGCGCGCCTTGAACCCGGAGGCGACGCTGTCGCGGTCGGTGTGCAGCGCCAGTAGCAGGCCGGCGGCGCCGCGCGGGGACTGCAGCGGGCCCGGCGTGGCCAGCCCGCACCAGCGGCCCAGTATATAGGGCGCGCCAGTAGTTACCTCGAACACGTAGCGCGCCTTGAACCCGGAGGCGACGCTGTCGCGGTCGGTGTGCAGCGCCAGTAGCAGGCCGGCGGCGCCGCGCGGGGACTGCAGCGGGCCCGGCGTGGCCAGCCCGCACCAGCGGCCCAGTATATAGGGCGCGCCAGTAGTTACCTCGAACACGTAGCGCGCCTTGAACCCGGAGGCGACGCTGTCGCGGTCGGTGTGCAGCGCCAGTAGCAGGCCGGCGGCGCCGCGCGGGGACTGCAGCGGGCCCGGCGTGGCCAGCCCGCACCAGCGGCCCAGCGGCACGCGCGAGCCCTCGCGCCCCGTCCACCACGCCTCCACCCAGTCCTCGCTGCACGTCGCGCCACTGGAGATTAACGACTTCATTACATCCAATAACAGTACTAACTACAAAAAAGGTGAATCGAAGAAAATCTGCTTTGCCCTCCTAGAGTCGGCTGTCTACATTTGGTGCAAATGTAGTTTTGGGAATTTAAATTTATAAAAAAATATTTAAAAAAAATGATTTCTTATAGTTTTATATGCTTTTTTCCGAAATTCCAAAAAAAAACTGACGCGCCAAAACTGCAGTTGACAAGATCTCCATGTTTTCATCATAATTGCGCAAAAAGTGTGAAGGAAATTACAAAGATCAATCTTACCCATACAATCCAGCTGTGGCATTCCACGCATCAGCCCTCACTTTGAAGTGGTCAAAGACTACGGTGACTTGCTCGTTGGGCGTAGCGTCCAGGGTGTAGGTGCAGTTAGTATGCGAGGGGTAGTTGGAGGGGTAGCGGGGAGAGTTGAACTCCCCGCGTTTCTTCGCTTCCGAGCGGTAGGTGAAAGCGCATTCCCCGCTAGGCGCTGCCGTACCCGGAACTCGATATTCTATAACCATAACAAAGCAGTGTACAATGTTTTGCAAGTCCCCGATATCTCGGCACTGTCATGATCATAGAGTAACTCAGTCAGTCAGTTACTCTGTGATCATGGCGTTCGCTACATTACTTGCTAATTTGCCAAAAATGTCCAGACTATTGCAATAAAAACTCATAAATTCGTTATATTTTATACATATGCGATTAGCTAGGGAATTCTTCAAGAAAGTATGTCTTCCAAGAAAATAAATTGTTGGCTATGGGCTGACGAAAAGAAGAGAAAGAGACCAAATGGATTAGAAGTGTAATACTGTGGCAGTATCGAGACGAGAAAAACATGACTAAGAGAACAAACACAACTTCATAATATGTTACAGTTCCGTCTCATACCAGTTTGAAAGGTATATTTGGCCTTGAACCCCTGCAGCTCTCAAGACCTGACCACCATGACGACGCCCTCCATCAGAGAGCAGCGGTGTGGGGGAACTCCCACCTCATTGAGATGGAGGGAGCAAACACAACTTCATAACATGATATACTAAATCCGACACTCACCAGTCTCAAAGGTATATTTGGCCTTGAACCCCCTCCCCTGCAGTTCCCCAGAGCTGAACACCATGACGAGGCGCGGTCCGTCAGAGAGCAGCGGCGGGGGGAACGCCTCCACCGCCCCCCCTCCCGCGCCCGCACCTCCACCCGCGCCCTCACCGCACAACTCCGCGTCGTGCTTGTCGTACGAGTCAGTCGCTTCCTGACCGCGGAGGTATACTTTAAGGTAACCATCGGGGCATGTGCTGGAATTAAGTGGAAGATAATAGGTAAGTTAAAGCAACTTATGAAGATGTTGTAGTGGCACCAATGATCGACATTCCCTTCCGTGTTGAATGAAAATTAGGCAGTAGGCAGCCGATCTCTAAACATGGTACTGCGGAGTTCTACCCTGCGTGGATAGAACCTGGGGCGTAGTAATTTATTGAAACAACTTGACTTGATTATTATTTTATATTAGATTTCAGGCGAATATGTACAAGTTTTTAATCTAACTACGAGAGGTTTGGTGCCTGAAGTCCATCTGCTGTGGAACCTTCTATCAAAAGACAGACGATTCCTTATTTCAAATATTAAAATCATGACATTAACTTTTTAATATAACTGCCAGCCGTAGGCATTGCATGAACAAAGAGTTTACCCAAACAAGGAGGCTGTAACGTAACGGACGTTACAGTACCGAACAGAGTGTTCATTTATAACTTGGTGTTATCACATTCAGCTACCGGCTACCCACTCTTATTTTCAGTGATTATAGACAAAATTTGATCCACTGGCTCCTGTCGGTCATTGATGCCACTCTACCTTATATTTTAAACTGAATTCAGCACTATGGAGGTCTTTAATGTTTTATAAAGAACTTACATTGAATACATTAGATGTTCTTTTGATTTTAGGATAAGTTAACAACAAGCACTGTTAAGATAGCGAAGGGTGCTTGATTCAATTTCAACCTGGGACCAATTTGACCAGTTCGGTCTTTGCTAGTAAATTTTTCGTTTAGAGATAAGACACTTTTTTAAATTTGGGTATACAAAAACAATAAGGCACTTATCAATTATCATATTATTAATTATCATATCCACCCAATTTGATAAACCAAAAGGTAATTTTATTCTCTTAAAATGGATTTTATCAAAATTTAACATCGGAACTTGGGATTATCAACTCGAAGTTTTCAAGTGCCATCTATGAGAAGTCTATGGAAAATTCGAGAAACTAAATCACTTACTCCGGTTTGGGGTTATATCCTTTCGGTATTGAAAAGTTTTGGAACTCTAAACGCACTCTCTCTAAATTTTGTGAGTCTTGCATACCATATATAAAATATCTGCAACAAAGAATAAATAGATGAGAACATTTTTCTGGTACCGATAATAATTTTCTATAGATTATAATTTCTACTCACCTACAAACAACTTTCTGTATATAGGGGAATGGATAATTGGGATGGTACACGAATCCCGTCGACTCCTTTTTACTAAGGATCTTCTGGTCGCACTCGGAGCCCCTAATGTGCTCGGCGTCGTGTTTACTTATAAAATCTAAAACATAATACATAATATGTGTTTATATCTCACTGTTTATTTTAATTGGCCTAAAAAAGAAGTACCTAGTGGGAACTATTTGTTCCTTGTGACATCATGGTCTGACTCAAAGTTAAATAAACTTTAAATTATATATAAAGTCAATTTGTATTTGCATGCTTGACTTATATGGCAAAACATGTGCACATTATTAATTTTGTACCAACTCATTGTTGAATTTTACATTGAATTTGAAATGGCAAAAATTAATTTATTTTAATAATTTGTATTCATTTTGTAATAAAAGGAAAGTAACGTGATTAAGTAATGCCAAAGTATACTTTTTCATTCAGTCTTAACTCAAATACTTCATTAGTTCGTTCAACCCCCACTCATTCGATCATTCACGCATTCACTTCACTTATAGACTTGATTCACTTTGCATTCCGCTGTGCTAGGAGTCAGTCGTATCAGCTTCCTAGTAAAAGTATATTTCACAGAATATAAGTATTATTCGTCACTGTGATTCCGTATTTTATTCAGCTCCTCTGACCTATAAAATCTACACTCATATTACTGTGTTTTAAAGCAAATAAATTATTATTATTGAAAGTCAAAAGTAAACCACCTTAATCATTTCACTGTCTTGGTCTCTAAATCGTACTGTTGTCTTTCTTTAATGTTTTAGAGCTAACTTAAGAGAAGAGACGTGATGTATGCTTACTTAGCCAGGTAAGTAAGCACACATCACATTATGTTATTTATTAAAGGACTTTTTCTTTGGAAGTGACATTAATTGATTGATGATTGACCTTCTAAATTTTATTATATTTTTATTTAAATCATTAAACTGTTTGATTTTTAAATCGAATGTTGTTTGACAACTGGGTCAATTTTAAAATTTTGCTTCTACATTTACTCACCTAACTTAACAAAACTCTCGGAAAACTCGAAGATACCCTTGAAGCCGCGGTTCTGCGTGCTCGCGCTGCGCGGCAGCGTGAAGAAGGTGACCAGCAGCCGCTCGTCGCTGGAGTACAGCACCAGGTTGCGTTGCTGGCCGCAGTACGTGCCGATCACCCCCGACGAGTTGTCGGGCCCGTCGTACACGCGCACCCAATCGAACGGGCAACTGGATAAATAAATAGTAATATATAAATATTTCCAAAAAGCCTAGCCGAAAGAAAGAACTGCAAGGCTTGTGTTACACGGTACTAGTGTAACAGATATATATAGGGTGAAATTGAATGTTTTAATGAAACTTCGTGAGATTGTTGGGTTACGAGTATAGAGTATGCCTGATTTTTTTCGGATTTTTTTGAAGTATTTTTTTTTCATGTATTTATTTATAATTTGTGGTTTTTTTTGTCCTTTCCTCCTTTTGAGTAGTTATTCATATTAAACAAACATGCTTATATATCCAGTGAAAAACAACTAATAAATAAGCATTTCTAAAAAACGGAAAAACAGTAAAATTCCACCGCGGGTCAACGACCGACCGCGCCCGCCAGCCGTTGAGTGAGTAGGTACGTACACAGGGCTCAGCTGACTCGTTTGATTCCACATAATACAATAAAATCGTCTCAGATGCCTTTATTGAAATTGAAATAATAAGCACAAATGTCATCTTCTCTTAAGCAGAGAAAAACTTAAAAAGTTAATAATAATTTTGTCACGATTGGAAATAGGCAAAAGTTAAACAAAAAGAAATACTTATTGCAGTTCAATACTTGGGTCAGAATGAAATTTATTACCAGGTATTCAAAAGTACTTACGAGACCGATGTACCTATTAATTTTTTTCTCTATAACTTCCCAATAAATCACCAAACCTACTTTCGTAAAGCCTTGTGGCTCTGCTGAGTATTCCGTGACACTCGCAATAACAACACACCATATCCAAATTCTTATATTGAGGCCACAGAACAAGAACTAATCAAGGCATTATTTGCAAATCTTGTCTTGTCACAAATTTAAAAGATACGCACGCGCGCTTGAGACTCCGCTCACTCACTGCGCTGTGCACCGCGCATACCTAGACAGGAAGGTATTCAACGGCGGGAGCGGTCATTGCTCCCGGCCGCCCGTCTCCTGTTTTTACGTCTTTTTTAGAAGTGCTTATTACTTGTTTTTTACTTACTCTGTATGCATGTTTTAAAAGAATAATTATTTAGTACCCAAAAGGAGGAAAGGACTTAAAATATAACAAAAAAAAACAAAATTTTATTTTAAATCATTTTCTAAAAAATCCGAAAAAATTCAGAGATAGTCTATATACGTAACCCAACATTCCCACGAAGTTTCATTAAAACATTCAATTTCACCCTGTATACGTACATACATGTACATGTATTAATACATACATTTAATAATATTCTTGTAGACATTTATACAAACAGTTATGGCGTAAGTATAATTATTACTATTCGGAGCAATACCAACATTTGCCCTCGATTCGAACCCAGGACATTTGAGTAGGCTGCACATCAAAAAAGGGCCTTAAATAGATATGTCATCTTCATTACCAGCCTATTAATGTCTCCATTGCTGGAACAAGGACCTTTCCCAAAGGTGGCATAGTGAGAAAGAGCCATGATCCAAAACGCCCGCACAGTGCGGTTGAGTGGGTGCTGGGTAACGACTACAGAAGCAGAAGCTGGGACCAATGCCTTAGCGTACTTTTCGAAGAACAGAGAAGCTCAAGATAATAAGTTTTGATGGCCCAACACAATGACTGGCTGTTGGGAAGTTGCTAACGAACAAATCGCAGACGGAACGCGGTAACCACCTGCTTGTAATGTCGTCATTATTATAAGTCTATCAACGTCTATACTGCTGTCACACCGAAAGCTAAAATTAATAAGCACGAGTCATAACTCCCTTTGCGTGTTGTTAAGTCCATACTATTGCATATGCAGTCGGGACCAACGATTCATCAAAAACAGAGCAGTACGACGGCATATATTTTTCATCACTCATCCGATAACCAGCCATCATAAAAGCTGCTAAATTTCACAATCATAGAATCATGCGAATAATAAATATAGAATTATTATTGTGACTTCTTTTTACTACTAATTAAATTATTCACAGCGTTTGACACGACAGCATCATAAATATGTAATACTTTGAATCTCTTTTCATGTTTATAGTATTTTTGGCAAAAGAACTGAAAAGGGATCTGAAATTATTTATTACACATAATGTTGAAGTGGAATAATTCCGAATAAGAGAAAGAAGCTATGCCTTCATTTTTGTTGCTAGACATTCCCGAAAAAGTACATTCCCATCACGATAATATGGCACCATTAAGGAAATTGCTCACTTTACTAAAATTGTTTCAGTTAATTCAATATCAAGTCTTATGGTATCTTAACACGCATCTCATCGTACTCACTGCGGCCCGCCGAAAAATAGGTCGAAGTCTCGGAACTCTAGTCGTATTCTCTGCCCGGGCTGCCCGCTGAACAGGTAGTTGCAGGTCATGTCCTTCGGATAGATGCCGGGGTACGTCGGCGACAGCAGAAAGCCCGTCTTGCGTTTGCTCGCTTCGATCACGAATGAACACAACGTATTCGGCACTGGTGTTCCCACTTCGAATTCCGCTGTATAAACAAAATATAGGAGGAGTTACAAATAGTATACTGATTTTCTAATGTCTCCAAATATATATCTTAGATAAATAAAAAACTGTACCATGTTATGTTTTTATTTATGTTTAAGCATTTATCTGCTAGATGTTTAAATCTAAAGAAAAGTTTACTAGAAAAAGTTTCTAGTTTATTTTTCTAGTAAACTTTTCTTTAGATTTAAACTGTACCATGTTTGGGCGCCATGAAAATAGTTCATCATTTGGCGCCCACCTTGTAACCACATGATGTTATAGTTACAAAAACTGTTTATTTCAGCTCAACTGTTTGTCTTTCAGTTTGTAGTTAAAGTTAATTAGAGTTTGTTTACAACTTCATATATCAGTGAAATCTTTAAAGAAAATAAACTCTTTACGGCCGTAAGCATTTTCTTTTGTTAATGATCTTACTTGATTTAAAGGGTATTTTTATCTTGATGATATCGGTTACAATAAACGCGGGAATGAAGTATTGAAATAAGTAGTTAACTGAAAGTGATGAAAATCTGTGTCTCACAAGCGTTGATGAAGCAATAGATGCCTGTGGAGGGGGTCGGCGGCATGTAGGTCCTGTCCGTGTAGAAGGACAGTGCGACGGCGCGGTGTAGGGACACGCGGCGGCGCATTGCGATGGTCCCAATGTCCATGTACTACTCACATGCGTTGATGAAGCGATAGGTGCCCGTGAAGAGTGTCGGCGGAGTGTAGGTCTTGTCCGTGTAGAAGGACAGTGCGACGGCGCGGTGTAGGGACACGCGGCGGCGCATTGTGATGGTCCCAATGTCCATGTACTACTCACATGCGTTGATGAAGCGATAGGTGCCCGTGAAGAGTGTCGGCGGCGTGTGGGTCTTGTCCGTATAGAAGGACAGTGCAACAGCGCGGTGTAGGGACACGCGGCGGCGCGTTGTGATGGTCCCAATGTCCATGTACTACTCACATGCGTTGATGAAGCGATAGGTGCCCGTGAAGAGTGTCGGCGGCGTGTGGGTCTTGTCCGTATAGAAGGACAGTGCAACAGCGTGGTGTAGGGACACGCGGCGGCGCGTTGTGATTGTGATGGTCCCAATGTCCATGTACTACTCACATGCGTTGATGAAGCGATAGGTGCCCGTAAAGAGGGTCGGTGGCGTGTAAGTCTTGTCCGTGTAGAAGGACAGTGCGACGGCGCGGTGTAAGGACACGCGGCGGCGCGGCGGGATGGGTCCGCAGTAGCGCCCGCCGAAAGCCGAGTTGACCAGCTCGCCCGCCTCCAGCGACGCCATCTCCGAGTAGATGTCCATGTACTCGTGCATGCATCTGAAATTAATTTAGTTTCCGTTTGATACAACTAATTTGTAGTTTATATATTCTTAGTTAGTTGAGGAGCTCGATGGCGCAAGTGGCAAGCGCGTTCAGCTGCGATCGTTGAAGTTAAGCAACTTTCGCAGTGGTCAGTCATTGGATGGGTGACCAAAAATTCACTATCTCTAATTCCTCCGTGCTTCGGAAGGCACGTTAAGCCGTTGGTCCCGGCTGCATCTGCAGTCGTTAGCACCCACCAATCCGCACGGGGCCACCGTGGTGGATCATGGCCCAATCTCCCTATTCCATCCATAGGGAAGGCCTGTGCCCCAGCAGTGGGTAAATTAATAGGTTGATGATGATGATATTCTTAGTTAACATCCGCGATCGCATCGTAAAAGTTTGGAGATGGCCAGTGATGGAATGAGTGATCAAAAATTGTTTAACTCGAGTGCTTAACAAGGTACATTATGCAGTTGTTCCCGGTTGCATCTGCAGTCATAAGCACCTACCAGTGGCCCACGTGGTGATTCATGACCCGTTCTCTCTATTAGGACACTAGTGGGGATATTAATAAGCTGGTGATAATGATATATGAGTGCTCTGATTTTAAAATTTTACAAAAAATTACAGATGTTCAAAGTGTTCAATTTGGTTTATATTTTCTTTGAGGAAGATAAATAACATTGTTATGTTATGTTGTAAACACGACAATAATTTTATTTTTAAACATCATCACAAACGTACATTATGTTAATCAAATATTCAAGTCATACCAAATATATGTAGCTAACTCAAGCAATTATTTAATGGGAAAAATATATTCAATACACAGTATATACAGTATCATAAAGAATAAAGTTTATTTATGAATTGCAAATAAGTTTACCTAAATAAATCAAAACAGAAGTTTGACCCAAATTCTCGGGCCCATAGGCAGGACAATAATAACTTAACGGAAGAAAACATGTTTGTGTCTCGTAATTTATAGTTGCCCTGAGATAAGAGCGAGACAGATAATGATACTTACGCTGGTAGCTCCCCCACAGCGGCTCCACTGGGCAAAAAACAAACAAACATTCGGTTAGTAAAAAGACGTTTTTTTTTTGTTGAAGTTCTCCCGTTTTCGGGAAGGCAAAGGGAACAATGCCCATACAGCCTAGTCTTTAATTAAATTAATCTTCTTTTTGTTTTTACATTAGAATGTCGGTGTGACGCATTCTAATGTTTCTTGGAGTGTTTGGCACGAAATGTATCGAGTTGGCTTTTTCGATAAGCTTCTGTGAGGTAGTCAACACTACAATAAAATGCTCACGTCCACTTGACCGGAATAGCGTATATTTTAACGATTCCACTAATTCTTCAGTTACGCAGACGGTTGTTACACAAAACCACCCCAATTTTCTTTCACAATATCCACTATGAACGAATTTAAGAATAATTAAAATAAGACGCCAACCGCACTCGATGAAATCCCGCCAAAAAAAAAAGCCGTTATTTTTTTTTAAAGTTGGTGATAATCTACAGGGTATTGTAGCATTGTTTTATTATTCCCATACTGCTAAAAGCGAAAAAAACACTGGCTATGAAAATAAAAAATAAAATTCAAACTTCAATATCGCTTATTCAGTTTAGGCTGTAACAAGCACTTGTGAATGTCGAAAAGCTACGCCATAAATATAAATTGCAACGTTTGCCCTTTTCTGCTGCTTGAATCGGAGCTCCCGCCTGGGGCAGTAACATCCGCCTTATAAAAGATAATAGTTTCATAATATTACCCGTGTGATGTTGTGTCGTTATCTGTCGATAAGTAATTGAGATTTCAGGGTAACATGGGGTAGAAAACAGTCAGGGTTAGTCGCCTATGATGACCCAAGTGATCATACTAAAATAGAACTAGCTAACAGCGTTAGCAATACTCTGGTATCCCAAGCATCTATCTATAGGCAATAGCAGCTGTTAGAATTTTGGTAGCCAGGTTACGGTTGTGGCACGCCAACATCCGAAATAGGAATTAAAATCAAGTGGGGTGGGAGTAAGTCTTTAATTTTTCTCTTGTTATTTAACAAATTTATAATTCAATGTTACCTTTTGAAGTGGATTACAATCAGGGCTTGTTTACCGGTTAATTTACAAACCTAAATCAGTATCAAGCACATTAGGAGCGATTTATTTAGGTTTGGCTCTACCTTAACCTTAAAAAAAACCGGTTTTCCTAAAAAGCGAAATCAAATAGGTTTTGAATCAATTTAGCGGTTTTTAAAGGGTTTTATTTCGCTCTTACTGACGGCATCGCCTTCGCCATCGCATTAAAATGTATAATGATTTTATGTCAGTTTCTTTCCAACTACAGAGCGAGTGAGTAGTGTGTCAGTACACAACTACAAAATGAATAACTTGGCTCACTAGACGCTAGCAAATGTGTCAATAAATGCATCAATCTCTGAACATTAACAAGTTGTGACTTGATTAGTTCAAACAAAACAAACTTCAAGCGATGCCGACGCGTGCACGTGTCACTCTGGATTAAACCAGTTCAAAAAGGTTTTAAGTACCGCTTTCATTTCGGACGCGCTCCGAACGAAACCTTTACTAAAATATTAATAATTAATAATTAATAATAATAAAAATAAATTAATTAATTTTAATAATTATTAATCTTTATTTACCGGTATTTTCGAAACCGGTTACAAGCCCTGATTACAATTACATTCGAATTTCCGTTACATACTTACAGGCGAAGCAACGGAAAATATGAAGTATCTAAAGAGGAAAGGCTATCAGTCATATTTTTAAAGGTAGATTAGAACCAGCGTCGCAGTATTTATCTACGCTACTTTTGCCACCTACTTGGGGTGAAAAAACAAGTAAAAAAACTGGATCTTCTTTTGTCTAACTTCCCTCCCATTTGTTCGTAGCGCGCGTGACACGTCTAAAAGGCGTTTTTCATCTATTCCGTGGATGAAGTCACAAATAAATTAAACGTAGCCTGAAGGGCTACTAAATAATTATAATTACCTAAAGTTATTGCTATTTACTTTGACAAGACGTATCGCAAGACCACTTAATAATAATAATAAATTATTTATTTGTTTCAATATACAATTGGTATAATACACAAATAGAATGACAGTAAATTTTAATTGAAACAAAAAGGTATGTGGCTCAGCACGTAACAGTCAAGTTTTGACTTGTCGTTGTTATTAGTAGTATAGTGGTGTCGATTCTGACATGATTCTCTAAACCTAAACTTAAATTTGACAACAGTGTATCCTTGTCATTCTCTATGCAGAATGAAAAGGAGAGACTGATGTTAAATTTAGTTTTAAGGTTAGAGAATCACGCCAGAATCGACACTAGTATTTGCTTAAAAACACATTAATAAGGACAATATCAGCAAGTCGAGACAATAATTTAGTTTTAATTACTACAACAATTAAATAGCATCATATTTTGTACTTGCCGCCACGTGTTGTTGTTCACACCTTTGCTTAAAACTGCTTTCGGATATTATAAGACATTGCCGCAAAGGAGGTGGCAAGTCATTCCATATTTTCGTAGCGGCAAATACAATACTTCTATTTGAAACTACATGACAATGCTTGTAATCTCTACGTCAATATGTGTGCGTCAGAAATAACGCTTTATTCTGAACCGATTCATTGCATGGGCGTGGCGATAACGTACTTTAAGGGGAGCGGCCGGAGGGTACAGATGCAGGCAGCATGTGCAGCTGCAGCCGCGCTTAGTCTGTATTTCATACAAATGCATATAAACCAGCCGGTCTACTTGCAGCCGATGCAAATGCCGCCTGCGTCTGCAGGCTGCAGCCAAGATAGGAATAGCACCTTTATCGCTTGCGCAGAAGAGAGACTTGTCTGCGGAGGACAGAAGTCCCCGAAGCGTGAAAAGAATTCCTGACCAGCACTTGTCACGGACTCAACGCACACGAACATTTATTGCCCGAAAACTTAGAGAACCGCTGGTTATGGAAGTAAATCTTCTCAGATTATATTGTTACGATGTTGTTATTAACAAGAAGAGGACATTTTAAAAGAAAATACTGGGGTGTATATCTTTAAATTGTATCTAAGCACGCAACAAGGACTAAATTATTTCGTTAATTTATTTCGGGGACACCCACGTACTTTTTCCCAGTCCCGTCTCTCGGTGTCCTCGGCTATTCCTTTTTGTACGCGGTACTTTGAATCCCTCATGAGTGTTAGTCCATGCTGTTGTAAATGCTCTTTTGGAGCGGGAAAAAACCGCTGGCAAAGGTCCCTCTTCTGCGCAGGCCATTTTATGATAGATCTAATAAAAGTGTGTGAGAATAAAAGTGTCTCACTCGGGCGGTTTCCCGCGCAGGTCGAAAGTCCGGAACTCGACGAGCACCCGCTGCCCCGGCGCCGCCAGGAACGTGTACAGGCACTGGCGACTGTGGTTCCCCGGGTTGACCAGCTCGGGCGCGTGGAACGACCCATTGCTGGCACCGCCGCGGCTCACGAAAGTGCGGTCGCACTCTAAAACAAAAACGAGGAAGAAATGTATCAGAATACCCGAAGTTAGTTAACTTTAATACCATCTCTAAAATGTGGCAACCAGGATAAGACGCGTGATAACCTCGGATTTTGTTGCCCAGAACCCGGACAGACCAAAAAAAAACAGTTAAAAATGTCACAAATCAACTTTTTTATGTTGATCTAGGCAAAAGAGCTAGCAGTCTACCTCATAATAAGTGGTCACTGCTGCCCATGGACACTTGCAGCACCAAGGGCCACTCAGGCGTTGCCGTAATTTTTTTAACCCGGACTACAAATAAAACCCCGCCCGGACGCTCCCCGGACGCCCCGTAAACTAGGACAAATCCGGGGAAACCCGGACGGATGGCAGCCCTAGTTAAGACTATTATATCGTGACGTGAAAGTAGAAGGCAAGAATGGATCTGAAACAATTATTGGACATTATAACTATTGTGTCGTGTTGTTTTGTGGTAAGAAGCCTTAGATTAAAACAAAAAGGAAGATACGGCATTCGCGGCTCAAAAGTGATCCGCATAAATTGTGGTCCACGACCATAATTCGCTTTAGTCACAATTTGACATTCAAACACGCTGCATGTACACTCAATATTACAATATTGCGTATATTCTGTGTTATGAAGATAAAACAATGCTTCGATGCTTTAATTAAGAAAAAAAATACTTAGTTCAAAATCAAATGCCCCGGCAACGCTTTTCATTCGTAAAACTGTAAATTTTTTTGAAGTTATACTTCTTTAGGCGCGTTATGTTGCATGAATGCATGATGTATGCATGAAGTTGGTCGCTTTAGCGACCAACTTCATGCGTTACTTTTGTGTTTACCGCATATTAAGAAAATCTACCAACAAAATAGAAATAGAATCTCTATTTAGTGGGTGCTAACGACTGCATTGTGGAGGCCTATCACCAAAGCGCGATTCAGGAGACTACAGCGCCATCTCTTGACCATTGGTGTAGTAGAACCAAAAACCACATCTTTATTTTTTGTAATAAAGTAACAGTTATAGGTATTCATATTTATAATATCAAAAGTATTTATTAATCTGGAACAACGGAACCAAAGCGCGATTCAGGAGACTACAGCGCCATCTCTTGACCATTGGTGTAGTAGAACCAAAAACCACATCTTTATTTTTTGTAATAAAGTAACAGTTATAGGTATTCATATTTATAATATTTATCCACATGTTTCTAGTTTGTATATTCGGAATACGTGTTTGAGTTTCATACAAGTGCAAATCACAATATGTTCTAATAAATTATATTCATTAGCGATTTAAATTGAATATTTTGATTATTTTTTTATTTTTTCAAATTAAAACTGAACTTTATTGACTGTGTCCTTTTCCAGACTTTTTTTTAATTTATTGTAATTAATTATTTGCATGCAATTAAAAACTAATTTTAAACGATGCCAAAGAAGGATAACTTCTCACGCGCCTACATAAGTACACGCACCCATTTTTTTTTCTCAAAAATCACGGTTTGTCGTGAATATTATTTACGTAATCGCCATTTTGTAAGCAAGAAAAGGACAACAATACGCTGCATTGAAGCGTATAGTTCTGTCTCGCTCGCTCGATTGATGTTTATATACAGACGTGTGTGTGGCGAGAGTTGCTTATGTAGTTGAGTCGGATCATATTTTATTTGATGCTAGAATGAGCGTACCCTTTTTGTTTTAATCTAAGTAAGGAGCTGAACGAAAGAGAGGAACATGCAGTTTGCAACGTTGGACTCGGAGGGGAAACCATAACAAATATCATCATCATCATCATCATCAGCCTATTAATGTCCCCACTGCTGGGGCACAGGCCTTCCCTATGAATGGAATAGGGAGATTGGGCCATGACCACGCGGGCCCAGTGCGGATTGGTGGGTGCTAACGACTGCAAATGCAGCCGGGACCAACGGCTTAACGTGCCTTCCGAAGCACGGAGGAGCTCGAGATAGTAAATTTTTGGTCACCCATCCAATGACCGACCACTGCGAAAGTTGCTTAACTTCAACGATCGCAGCCGAACGCGCTAGCCACCTGCGCCATCGAGCTCTTCAAGGGGAGTCCGTTTCAACACAGTGAAGTAGTGACTTGGGGTAAGAGCTATTCTCTCTAAATCTGCCCCACCTTTGAAGCAATATGCCTGGGGAGCTTATTGTGGATAAATCCCGACGCCCTGTCGTCAGTTCGAACGAATATATCTATGATCAAATAGATGGATGCTATGATGTTTTAAAGGCAGAGATACTTCGTACACGCTTTCAATTTGGCAATACCAAAGTCAGGGCACGCTCTCTCGTCGCGGCTACATTTTGCTACAACGTGTAAATATTTAACGTTTCTCCAGACAGAAAACTCAATGTGTGTGTTTTAGATAGTACACAAAATACACTAGAAATATTAGAGACGAGAAAAACGTTTATGATTATTTTAGATGTGTAACAAACGACTATTATGTAAGAAACTTTTCCAGGATTGTGGATTAACTTAATGACCTTGTCGAAATATTTAAAACAGCGTATGCACTTAACTTTGTCAGGACTAGCCCTTCTTATGTTACGGTTCCGCAAAGAAAATAGTTATTTACTAGCGGCCCGCCCTCGCTTCGCTTCGGTGTAGAGCTTAGAGTGTAGACTACAGTTTTTATTCTCAGGCTTGTATTATACACAATGACATTCATCTATGATTCTTCTTATACCTGCATGAAAAGTCTCAGCCCGATCGGTTTAAAATTGACAAAAGTGTCATACAAACTTTCATTTCCTATTTTATCCTCTTGGGGGTAGAATTGATCAAAATCCTTTCTTAACGGATGCCTACGTCATAACATCTACCTGCATGTCAAATTTCAGCCCGATCCGTCCAGTGGTTTGGGCTGTGCGTTGATAGATCACTATGTCAGTCAGTCAGTCACCTTTGAGTTTTATACATGTAGATTTGATATATTTTCGCACAGCCTAATGTTTAGATAAGCTCGTGACACTTCATGAGCTAATCAGACACGCATATGACTCCATTAAAGCTAGCCTAAATGAAACTTATATTCCATATTAACAATGTATCGAAAAATCACTGAAACGCAGAACAAAATCATATACCTATTACCCAAATGATTTCAACGAATCCTTTTATCTCCTCTGGGTACTTCCGTTTTTCCCTCTTCATTCGCGCATGTCGAGTTACATTAATAGCGGCCGAATTTCAAAAGTCCTACGTCGCAACAAAGTCCACACCACATTTTGCTAAGCTCGCTCGCGTACCTCGACCTTTCCTGCCCGCAAAGCGCCCTTTGTAACGTGCCTGTGTTTCGCTGAAAAATTGCGATAATACTCGTCGACCAGTCTTCATACAATGAGCTGTTTATTCGGCGAGCCTGCATCTATGAAAATGTTTGCCAACACCCTCTGTTTTCGGGGGTAGGCAAATAAAAGGAACAGTTATGAAAACTTATGACTGTTATAATTATAACTGCATAACATGTATTTATCAAATGAAACTAGTATCAACGGTATTGATGCACTGTTTAGAAGTATAAGACATCTTAGAAGTATAATACATAAAAACGATATTTGCTTTCCCGCCAGTAGGACTGCCCTTTACAATAAAAGTATATTTGGTATGGCACCACGACTGTACAATAAATTACCAGAATGCTTAAAAGAAATATCCAATATACAAACATTTAAATTGAGAGTTAAGAAATTACTTGTGGGAAAAGCTTACTATACAGTTGACAAATATATGACGGATAAATTTTAAAATAATATTGTAATCCATTTGTATTCCTTTTTTTGTTATTTTATTTAATTTTACTTAAATGACCTATAATTTAATTTGACATTATCTTCATTTTGACATGTATTCTAATTTGACATTATGTTAACGTTTTTGTATATATCCATTATTATTATTATTATTATTTTTCAAAATGTGACTTAGACATCTCATTTATCAAATTATAATTTCAATTTAGATTAATATAAGTACTTAATTGACATTGTTAGAATAATGTAGTTAATAGTGAACTAAATGAAATAACATTGCATGTCAACAAGACAGAATAATATGGCTGAACATAATATAATTTGTATACTTGAACACAACACAATGAACTGTATTCGCAATAAAAAAAAATTGAATTTGAATTTGTTTTATTTATTTATTGACGTTTCTTGGATGCGGAGCGGCACGACCAATTCAAAAAAAGTACATGGGCGATTAACCCCGCCGCGGGGCGAACCGGCTCATGGGGCGAAACGACCGAAGACCCGTTTAGCGTTATTCGAAATGCGCGTTAATTTCATCCTTATAGAAACTTCGGTATCGCCAAGAATAAGATTTTTCATACAAACTTTCCGCCCCCTTTTAACCCGCTTAGGAAAAGATTTTTCGAAACACCCTGACACGGTAATAATATCATACAGTATTCTATCTTCATACAAACGGTCGGAAAGCGAGTCATACCTACGCCACTCGAGTTCGATGTGCACTCGGCGGGCACCCAGTCTCGAATGCGCCGCCGCGCCGCAACGACGACCGAACGGTCTGAATTGTTTTTTATGCAGTTAGCCGTGCTTAAACGTGCGTTTTGTATTGTAAATATTTGATTTAATTAAGTAGATACCTACATAAATTAGTATGGAAAAGAACAAACGACGATCAATATCGTACACAGCACAATTGCTGTTTTTGGTTGCTTGAACTCTTCAATAACACTCCCAGAGATATCATTTTTTAATTACCTGAAATATTGGAAAGGTGTCTTACCTTTATAGAATATTTTTTATATACCTATCTACTAGTACGTTATTTGTTTCTAATATTTAGGTATTTCGGTTTTTCCATCGGGCAAAATATCTGGAATATATATAAATAAGTGGTTAGGATGAAAAAAGAGACAAACGAGTAATCTACCTACACTCGCGTTAAAAACAAAACTACATAAAATATTGTAGGCGGGCGGCCCTACCGCGTGCCAACGC